ATTTACATATCAGGAATTATCAGCAGTATTATACATACAACACTCACAGGAATCAAATGAAATGACCTTTGTTTTTACGCTCTGTCTTCTGACACCTAAGACTCTAGCTGATATTTTTCAAAATAGCAACATATTTTCTTTGGTTCTCCCCTCTCCACCCCAAAATTATTAAATTACACTTAAAGCTTAACCACTGAGCTGCTTGAACACCTCTAGTTTCCTTAGAATCAGACATTTTGGATCTATCAAACCATCACTGCAGACCTCGTCTGGCTCTGCCAAGCTGCCCATGATGCTGGCAGCACTGTGCTGGAGCTCTGCATGGAACAGCACAGAGACAACACTGCACTGGTGCCCAGAAACTGTTTCTAAGTCCTACTCAGCATGTCTGGGTAGAGACAGCAACTTCTGAGGCTAGCTTGGGTATCTTTACTATGACCATGGATTCAACACAGACCAGCTTTATTTTTTAATCCTCTGCAGAAACCCATGCTTTCAATGTCATGAATGTTTTTGCGTGCATTATCCTGCAAAAATGCAATTGGATCAAGGTTAGAAACACTATACATGGTTATAAAGGCAAAAGCTATCTTACCTCCAGAAAAAGTGACAACTAATCCCTTAGAGACTATTTACAGAACATACATACTTCGTAAAAGTATGAAACCCAGTTAAAAGTTTTCCTGAAGAGTTTTTTAGATTTACAGTATTTTTGTTTCTTTTATCAACAAAGTACTCAAAGGCACTCAGAATGTGCAGAGTATAAAAAACATCTCTGTCAAAATTTGTTTTCTATTGGTATGGTTATGTCAGCTTGCGTGAGAAAAAGCAGTTTAAAAATGTAAATTCCATTTAAATTATATTCGTTTGCTATTAATTATTATTAGTTTGCTATCAATTTTATATTCAAGTGATTTCAGCACTGAAATGTACACTTGCAATAGCTGAAAATCTCCTACATTTACAATAGGAAAAGGCATATCTGAAAGTATAATCATTTAAAGTTTCTTTAAATAAGCAAAACAACTCTTGCAATAGATTTCCAAAATAATTGGGGAAAACTCCTTCCTTGATTTGACAAAAGCCTTTACAGTAACACTTCGTATCAGAAAATGTGTAATTCTTCGTTTGCAGTAGCCAAGTATCTGTTCAAAAGTATTCATGAAAAGCATTCTTGCTGAATGAGGAAAAAAAAGGGAAATGTAATTCTAGTGACACAACACACCAAGGTCACCCCAGTACCTCCAAAAATAAAGACAGTTTTCTGACAGTTTGTGTTTCTGATGAAGAAATATGTATTTTCATATAGTAAATGTGAATTACAATTCTCTACAGAGCAACGCTCACTGAAATAGTGCTCCAGCATTCATACCATTCTAAATAATGTCCCTGTTTTCCAAATGCAGTTTGTCAAAAAAGCTGAATGCACTGTAACTAAAAAAATGTCAAATAAAGGAATACTTTAATGAAAATGCCTCTAAATAAAGAGCCACATCATGACAGATACCCAGAATCTAAATTGTCTCCCCTGGCTGGACACAGAAGCTGACTTGATGGCATTTGACAAGATTCACCAAGAAAATTTCCAATCAGTTTAGTAGAGATAATTAGGTTAGACAAAACCTGTTCACTTATTCAGTTTCTGTGGCCAAGTATTCACCGCTGTCACTTTTTGCTTGTGGTCCTGAAGAGTTCTCTGGTGAACACCTCCCAGAATAAATAAGTTCTGAGGCTGTTTAAACTTCCAGCTGACCAAATTCAGCCCACCATAGCCTGCTGTACTGCCACCTCTTCCGTCATACAGTATTATAAAGTATTTTGAGCAGAAAAATTAAGACGTGATGTCAATCAAATTAATCTCACACTTATCAATGCTGTCCATATAATGCAAACCTATTCCCAGCATTTCTCCTTTTCTGAACTGCTGACCAGAAATCTCTTACCTTGTTCAACATTCAAAGACGATCCCAGTGTCTGTGCTTCTCTTTGAATTTCAATTTCCAACTTCAGTTTGGTTGGGCAGAATTATTACTGTTACTCTTGGTTTTATTCAACACATTTTCAATTCTTTAGACTTTTCAAGTCTCATGCTACAATTCCTGCTTTTTAATCTGTAAAACGGTTGTCTTCTTTTTGTTTGCATTTCTTTTTTTGGCGGCTGGCGTGGATGGGTGCCAGAAGCAATATTCTGCTTCTCTTCTTATCTGTCCTAACCAAGATAAAAGTGTTATTACTGTGACTCTGAAGTTTTCATTATTTTCTAAGGTGTAGTATTTCCTGAGCACTGCAAGCTCATCTCAGGGTCAAGTTCCAGGAGGCAAGTACCACAAAAGCCCAGATGAACTGCAATCAATCTATGCCTAAAATTCCATTGCTAAACACAGCAGTCCCCTCATACTTCAAAAAATTAACATGAAACCCAAAAATCATAATTGCAGATTCACTCCTCCAGTTCTTAATGAAAACTAAGTGTCTATTTTTAGATCTATAAGTTACTTCTACCTTGCGTCTTCTGTTGTGCAGTACCTTAAACAGATATCCATGACTCAGATGTCTTCATGGAAGCCATTTTCTAGTCCCACACAGACAGAATGCAGCAGTTTCTTTTAAAGAAACTGACAGGTACATTCAGGTACAACTGATTGCCTTGAAATAAAAATGGCACAGCTTAGGGTAAAGAGTCCTACACAGACTTGTTTGCTTTGAAAAGCAAACCCTGTCACTCCACTATTTCAGTTAAACAAGGCTTAATACAGGAAATGGAAATGCAAGAGATATGCAAAAAGGTCCCTGAGTCAGTCTGGTTAAAAAGTTAACTTTGGGGAGTTCCAGCAAGTAAAAAGGAAGCATGAAGATATCTGAAATGTAGCTTCTTCCACAGACACTTCCTAGCATTTACCACATACCTGGTAAATGCAAATGGCTGGAAGTGGGGTGGGTTGTGGCTGATGGTCCCTTAATCACTGGGTGAGACATTTGGGTTAATATTAGCATACTGTGTATACAACTTAAAAGCAGTCAGATGGCCTATCTTACACTGAACTTGTGGGTTATTTGTAGCAGCTGAGAAAAGAATGGTAACAACCACAACAACTTCTGGAGATAATTTTAATATCAAATGCATTTGCATTCTCATAGCACATATGTAAGAAATCCAAAAAGGCAATCCTTTCATGTTATAAAATCAATTTAGAAACTTGCATAATTATTTTATTTTGCTTTTAAACAGCTATAAACCAGTCAATCTAAAAAGAACCAATTGCTTGGTGATAAAACCTAACTTTACCACAAGAAAAAGCCCAAACTGTTTTTCATAAGGGAACACTGAAAATATTACTCAGTTAAGAAAGGTGTAGAGAAAGGGCACATATTACTGCATTTTATCTTTTTTTTTTTTACAATAAATACACAGATTTTCTTTTAAGTAATGCTGGTGTTGTGATTTAGGTGCTGAGACACAACTCTGGGATGAGAGGGAAAGATGGTGGAAGGCAGGGGAAGAAGGGGTTGTGACAAACTACAGAATTAAACTAGAAGCAAAGGCAAAAAACATACAGTCATTGCACAAGGCTGCTCACAGCTATATAGAAAGTAACTGTGCTCAGCAAATTGTTGCTTTAAAGTTGTCTCTCTCCCTCAGAAAGAATGCTTCCTGGTTTGAGAAATAATAAGGGAGGGGTGGAGGGGTATTGGATGACTGTACAGAACCTGAAATAACTGGATTTTCCAAAAGCCAGGTTTCAGAGTTGTCGTCTTGAGGGAAGAGGCCCTGAGAATTCTGCAGTGACATAAAAATGCTCACATCTTTGGGTTGCCCTTAATTTTTATTTTAACTCCCTATTGTACTTCCAGCTTTAAGTGCTCTGGTTTTGCAGACTATTTTATGACACAGGTGGTTTTGGTGGTTATCTGACACAGAGTCCTTCTGAAGGGTGAGATGACAAGTAAACTTACAGTGGGGAACAGGACAAAGCATCTTTTTAGAACAGAACACCTTCTATCATGCAGTGAGTACAGAAAAAAGTGCACACATCAAAATGTATCACTGTTCAAGGAAAAGCTGCATAAATACAAATTAAGACAATGATGAACTTGTGCCAGTTTATCAAATCAAATCTGAATTCAAACACTCAATATTCAGTCATCTTTGCTCAATTCTCCTAAGCAAGGTGCAAGTCCTGTTTGTCTTATATGTAAATCACATATCTTATTTTTCAGTAAAACACCTCAGACTTTTGAAGCTGTTAAGCCACAGCCTGCTTGCCTTGCTAACGCAGGTGGTGCCTTAAGATTTGTAGGAATTATTTCCCAAAATCAGGTAAATAGCATTAAAAATCTATTGCCTACGCATACTGTATTGGTATGAACTTTGAGAGCAAGTTTGCTTCTAAAACCTGGTAAGAAAAAAAAGAAAATACACTCCCAACTTTGTAGTATTTCAAAAGTCACTCTCAAACAAGTGTCTTGCACTTGTGGAAACGCTTTTATGAAAATGGCAGGAAGTGGGAAAATAATTATTTTTAAAAATCATCAAAACTCATCAGGCTCAAATTTTGGCAGAATTTTCTGACACATGCAGATGACTTCTGTATATAATCAGAAACAAAACAAAAAATACATCTCTAAAGAGAGTCAATATTAAATCCTGAAAGTAAAACAATACATAGTATTCATTCTATCTGTATCAGCTGCAAATCAAGAGACAATACAGGATCCAGATCCTGTCTTCAGGCCTGACTTCGATATGATCATCCATGTTTATACAGAATTATAAAGAACAGGCTCCAAAAGACCAAATATATTTACATCCTTGAGGCATATACCTGTAGACAGCTTTCATATTCCAAGAATCAACTAGCAATCCACATGCATTAGCTTTAACTTACGTATTTACATTCTTATCTACAAACTTCTCCTTTCCCCCTTCCAGCATTATAAGACCACACAACACCAGTGAAAAAAAAAAGTCTTTAAATAAATAAATGCTGAACAAGTTCTTCTTGTGCCTTTTCTTTTTCCTTCCTTGCAAGGCAGGGAGAGACCAAATTCCACTAAGCAGAGTTCCAGTTATTTCATACATCAGTGTCCTTTGCCAGGACTGCCTTACGAGATTTATTAGCTGCTGCTGCCACTCTGCTGTTGGAAGTGCAGTTGCAAGATGAGGTCTCGAATTTCTTCTCTTTTGTTTCTGATCAGCTGACGAGGGAACCAATTCTCCAGATGTAGTGGTTGTTCAAAATTAACTATGGGATTCTGGTAAGAGAGAAAGGGATATTTATGGAATGGATTTCCTAACACAACCTTCAGAAAGAATTTCAAGCCTTTCCACTGCTGCTGAGATCAACGAGGCACAAACAAGCTTCCATACAAGACTGACAGCCTTCAAAATCAAATTTCCAGTTCCTTCATCATCAAGTTGCAGTTCCTTCATCATAATCACATTATATGTGCCCTTACCAAAAGGTACTCGTGGTGAACACCAAACAGGTTATCATCACTTCTCTTAAAGATACATCAGTATTAACACATATTAAAGGCAGATCTCAGGCATTTTGACAAAGTAGCCATACTTCTGATATCTAACAAGGGACAGATGCATTTTAGTCACAAAATACATAATTACAGTCACACTATAGCAAAGAATCAGTACAGTGGTTGAGCACACTGAGATTTTGTCTCAAGCATGTGTTTTTTCTATCGTGAACAGGTCTTCTGATACAAGACAACAAAAAGTAAGAATACTGGTAACAGTTTTAGCAGGACATGAGAAGGGGAGAATTTGGAACAAAAGAGGATAGCAAAATGAAATAGCTGAGAGGTGTTGGCAGATTTGGCAGTTAAGACCACAACACCACATCTGATTTGCCAAAATCAATTTTTTTTCCTTCTTTCCCTCTTCACTCTTTTGCCATGTTTACATTTCACCTTCTCCTTCTGTTTAATAACGTAATATATGATAAATTGAAACAGTAAAGAACACATCATGATTTGCAGTCTATGAGTCCTGGCATGTTTAGGACAAGTTACAGCCACCTTGTCCCAAGCCTTGCTTGTTCAAGAAGAACAAGTCCCCCCCATTAGAGAATGGGCAGCTCAAAAGCTTTGGTAAATAATTTCATTTTCCACCTACACAAGAGCTGAACCCATCTATTACAGAACCACAGAATGGCTGGGGATTGAAAACACTGGAGTTTTATATCCCCAACCAGACCTTCCTGGCTTCCAGCAGAGCACCTCTCCTCATTGGGTCACCTGTCACTCAGGCCAGAAACTCTCCAGGAAGCTGTCAGGTTAAAGTCGCCCAAAGAGTCTGGGGTCTGTGAATGTGAGGCTGCTTTTACCTGACCAAAGGGACCTCATGCACTTGTTCTTATTGGTCAGGTGGCCAACAGCAGATGCCCACTGCTATGTCACCCATGGTACACTGCTCTTTAGTCACTGCCCAGAACCTCTCAGATGGCTCCTCACCCAGCCACAGGCATAGATTCATAGATGCATTCCAGCTGACTCACATGAAGGACAATTCTACCCCCTTGTATCCCGTGTCTGTGCTTTCCAAACAGCCTGTATCCATCCACAGCACTCTTGCTGGATACACGATTTATCCAAAAACATTCCCATGACCTGGACAAGATCACAGCCTGCAACTGCACACAGAGCTCCAATCTACCCACTCTCCCCCAGTGGGTGTACCTGTGGGCAGGTGGTTTGGAAATAGCAATCTGTTGCCCTGCAGCAGAAAAGCCTGTCCACTGCCCAAGCTCTCACACAAGGCTTTTCATGAACAGGAACCTCAGAGAATGCAAACCACATGCATCAAGCCTCAAACAAGCAACGCCATTCAAAGTCCAGAGCAAAAGGCAGTGTGCTGCTGACCAGGGGGAGGAAGACTTGAGGACACCCTAGCAGACAGTGCCTGAAATCCAGGATTTGCAGATATTTAAAGGTATGTGGTAAAACAGAAAGAGAGGCTCCCTTAGCTCTAAACGTTCCCTTTTAACAATTTCCCTTCTCCCTCTTTCTGCAGCAGCTGCTGCCTGCAGACCCACTCAAAGACCAATGCACAAGCTGACAAAATTTTAGATACTGCAAGAAAAGATGCAAAGAAACTTCTGTAACATCTGTAGGCAGGAATGCCTACACTAATAGGCTCTAAATACACGCAAATAATCAGGGATACTGCATGTGTCAATATAAAAGCAACGATAAACTACAAGATCAAACATTTGAGACTAGACACATATGACAAACCAGATGGAAAGGCCCCTGCCATTACTTAAGAAAGGGTTTCTTCTCCTCTTTCTCAAATGACTTTGACACTTTCAACAGCTTTCTTGTGGCTATTTTGCTCAGAAAATGGGTTTTTGTGGTTTAAGATAATTTTGGGGAAAGGGGAAGGTAAGTTTGCATTTGTACCTGGAAGAAGCTTTCCACATACTGCAGCAAATAGACCCCACAATCACTGCTGTTATCTTGTTTAGGCACTCTGGGACATAGGTCAATCATTGTTGATTTACTGAATTCCCGATGTGTTTTTCGTTTAGCTTCCCATTCCACTTCAAGGTACCTACAAAAGAAAGTCAACAGTTGACATAACTGAGAAATAACTCTCAAGCTCAATGCCTTTTGGTACACTACTCAACATTGTTCCAAAGCTGGCCAAAAAGCTAAAATTGCTCTAGACAAATTATTTCACAGAATTTACCAAAGAAATTAATTTACTATTCCACTACCCAATATTCTATTGCACTCAGAGGCATTTCTACCACATAACAGGCGATATGCAAAACAAATATGCATGATGTCATTTAAAATCAGCTACTCGTGGAAAGTTTCTACAAACTTTTAGGATACCAGGACATTTCTACACCTTAACTAAAGGAATAATTTTATTGCCTATCACACATTTTTCCTGGGTTAATTCTAAGAGGCCAACAGTGCTGTTTAAAATCTGAATTAAGATAATAAAGATATGCATTAAGTCAGACCTTGTATTTGATTTCTAAAAGCCCCAAGTCCTTGCAGTCATGAGAATAAAAATACATACAGAACACTTAAAATAGCTTTTGGGCAAAATGGCAACTGTGAAAAGCCACGAAATATGAAACAATTCAAAGATGAAGATATTTCAGTGAAGCACACTCCTAAGGCACTGCAAGAACCTATGACTGTAGACTTTCTAATTCATTTGTTTGAGCCTGACCACTGCCCAAAACACAACAAAAATCAACTCAGGGAAAAGAAGGTGTCATAGAATCCCTTCATCAGTTTCCTTAAACTTCTGCTTCCAGGGTGTAGACTGGAAACTGAAGGAATAAGAAGTCTGCTTCCCAAGCTTCCTTTATCTCACAACTCCATAGGTCTCCACTTGTTTTCTGACTCCAAGAAGCCACACTCTGGAATTTCAACCCCAGGAGTAGCTCCAAGAATAGCACACTAAAATAATACATCCCACAGAGTTTTTATCAATAAATAAATAAATAAATAGAAATTGCTATTTCATTCTTCATTCCAAGACACATGGCAGGGAGGCCTCTCTATTTAGGGAAAAGATGGTTTCACAAACATTTCTAAATCTCATCTAAACTTTACATAGCATTTTGAAGAATATACTTTTACAAGAAGGTACTTTACCAATTTTTGTACCTTTCAGTGAATGGAATAGCAAAGAGAACAGAAAGAACAATTGCATTTAGCTTCAGATATTTAACAATTTTTTAGAAAGTTGTTGATAGACATTAAAGTTTTAGGAATGCATAAAAGTACTGAAAGCTTTTATTACATTCTTCCAATACTTATATACTTATACAAAATTGAATATATTTTTACACTTTTCAAAACAAATAGCATTCCACTATAACTCTACTGACATATCAAGCTTTTAGACAGCTTCAGTCTACTTTCTGCATTTTTGCATATAGGAGTGGATTTAACACTAATATCTTTAGTTACTACACTAGATGGGATAAATCCTACCCACATCCCCCAAAACAACACCAGCAAAAAACTCTATTTTTTCTTTTTTCTCCACTTTACAGTCTGCTTTACAGTTTTTACATAATATGTGGCTTGCAGAACATAGACAGATTTTTCATGGAGGCCTCTGTATTATAATTACAATTTCCTTAGTCATGACTCCTCATGGATTTTCCTTTAGCATTAGAAATATACACCTCTCTACACAAAAGCATTTTGTATACAGAAATATGACCAGCAGCGTCTATTGCTAAAAGATAGAAATTGTAGTTACTTACTCTCTCAAAACCTGAACTGTTTTCTGCACAGAACATGCTTTCAAGGAATCTAAGATGAGTATACAAGGCCTGTACACAACAAAAACAGAAACAAGTCACTGCAGTCTTCCATCACCAATACTGAATGAAGTATTTTGTTTGCATAAAACCTACCCAAGAGTATCAGTAATTGAATATTTTTACCAATGTGGCAAAAATGGACAAGTACTTACAGTTGTGGTTTTATGACAATACTCAAATTACTACAGAATTTCATAATTTAATGACACAATATTAGAGAGAAAACAGAAACATACCTTTTACAAATCTGCTTTTTGGAATTACTTAGGGAGATCTGAGACAAAAGAAAAGATAAAAATAAATCTTTAAGAACTAATATCAATTATAAACTCCAAGATCTTCATAAACTTAAAAGTAGTTAGAGAAGCTCTCATTTCAGAAAGGTAGAAACAAATCAATTTTAATTACAGGTGAAATCATAGCAGAGCCTATAGGTAAGCAAAGGAGGACAGTGCTAATTCAAAAAGCCTTGCACATGCTGCAAGCCATGCAAACATCAATAACTACCGCAAAAAAGATGATGCAAAATCCCTTGGTCAAATCTCACAGTCTTCAGAAATTCAATAATTTGTTTTCTCTGTCAATACAAAAAGGCACTTACTTTAGAAATAGCTGAATGCAGAACTGAAGCAGAAGCAGCTATTTCATTGTCACCTAGCACAAAAGGACAAATGAAAAAAACAGTTAAGAAAATAATACCTAAGAAAAGTATTTTTATTTTCATGTTCATGATTATTATTCAAAATATGAAAGTAAGGAACTAATTTATAAACCAATTTTTAACATTCCCTTCTGAATCCTGAAATAGCAGAGTTACCAAAGGTCTTCCCTCCTGATAAAATTCTTACTGAAACCAAACAATTTTCCAATCATCCCTGATTTTTCCATGTCTCTTCTAGTGTTTTCCAGAGTTGCAGAGAACTTGCAGTCCTAACTATGCATGGGTATACAAAAACATCCTATATCAGTCTGGAAGTTTTAGAAATTATCTTTCCCATAATGTCCTTGCTTCAATGATTAAGACACTTAGAACTGTTTATGGCTTGACATAACTTTCTCCTAGATTACATTCCTTTAGAGAATAAACTTCTGTTACCATCCATCTCTTCTTCATCCTTGAATAGCACTGAACCAGCTCTAGTTTTGTCACTCTCTGGCTCAAGTGAAGACTGCTGAGGCCGGTGAGATAATGAATTCTGACAGGGACACTCCTCATACACAGCTTCTTCTAACCAAGGAAAACAGATAACTGCAATGTACCAATGAGACCTGCCCAGCAGTGAGGAGAGGGAGGAAAAAATATCAAAACTCTGTAACATTTGGTTCTGAAAAGGCTATGAGAAACTTTTATAATATTTAGAACTAATGGACAAGTGTTCTGTGACACACAACCATTGTTGCCATGCTCTCTTCATAGCATCTCATACTAATCCTCTCCTTCACTTTTTACTTTGCATTGTGGCATAACAGCAAAAGTAAGTATCAATTCCTTTAAAAACCCCAAAAAGCCCACCACAGCAATTTATCGGTGTTTGAATACCCATTCCACACTTCAACTAAATTCCAAAATAAAAAAATACTAATAATCAGTGATGATGATCCCAGTTTTGAATATAGCTGACATCTTTCCACAGCTGTTTTACATTATGTACCTTTCAATGACTATTCCGTTTTACAGGAGTTTCCATATACAGGTCAATTATTTAGCCAGGCCAAGGCACATATTATAAAAATTCTACTTTTATCTATTGACATTATGAGTTGCTGTGATTTCTTTACAGAAATATTACTGAAGTACACAGGAGTCATCATAATGACACACAAATCATTCTGAAAAATACCTAACGGTAATTTTCAGCAAAATAAAAACCAAAGGTACAACGTTGACAGCTGAATAAACATTTTATCTTTTGAACAGTTTTCAAAAATTACTCATTCCACATGTGTTACTTGTTCAAAATCTATCACAGGCAATGATCCAACTTTAACTTTTTTTAAACTTTCCGTAAGTTTTTACCACAACATGCACTGAAATCTTAAAATATCAGAAAGTGTTGAAAACATGGACTTACTCCTCATTCACAGGCACAAAGATATAATCTTTATTGAAGATATTTATATGGCGAGTCCATGTTCTTACTCTTCTGTGTCTTCTCTGTGCTGCTCTGAAAAAAAATAACGACAATTGTTGTTTAGTTTTACTCCTTTTAGTTAGAGTAAGGCATAGGGATTAGTACTCCCACATCTCCCCAGTCCCTCTGGGTTTTTAATTTACTCTAGAAATTTCCTAGACAGATTAAAAATAAATCAGCACACCATTGAGCCCTCGTCACTAACGAGCCATTTCTGAACCATTTTAAGCTCATCTTGAAAAAAATCCCACAATCATCCATAGATTTGAATGGATTTCTTGCAATTATTATTTACTGCACTAAATGCAAAAACATCATCTAAACACCAGTCAGTGTAAATACAGATCTATAATAATTTAAAACATCCATGAATTAAGCTTCACAATACCACTTTAAAACAACCGTATCTTTCGAAAAGAAAAAAGCTAAATGCTTTGCACAGGGTCATGTAGCACACCTATAGCAAACACAGAGGGGAAACACATGCCCTCCAAGAGGGCATGCCATCCTGAGATTTAAATGCTGAACCAAATTTCATTTCCAGCTCTATAGATAAAGCATGAGGACAATACCAGGAGAACAAGAGAAAACTGAGAAGGTATTTAAGTTTAGATTTTCAGCCTAGTTTGCATAAGCTGAAATAGAAACCAACATTTCACAGAACTTTGCTCCAATATGAAAGCAAAATTCACTCTATTCAGTGGACATCCTTATTATCATTGTGATTCCATCCTCATCTTTGATTAAGAAGCACAAGTTCAGAGTAGCAGGAACTGGAGAAAATGAGTAAGGAGTGGAAAACCAGGCTGGTATAAGACTCTGCATGGAACAGAAGTGAAGACTTGCTGCAAACTTCCTCTGCTACATGACTGTAGAAGCATTGAGAACTTCAAAGGAGAAGGCTTGTTTATAACCTGGGAAAATACCCATAAAAGCAACTTTCTCAATCCAGTGCCTGAAAGATGTGTGAGCAAAATGAAGAAAAGTGTCTTTAAGTAGCTACATCTGTTGAGATTCATTTCATTTACAACAGTACAGAGCCAGGATTTTCACTACCCATTTACCCAAAAAAACCACCCCACTGAAACAAACTAACAACCCAAGCCATCTGCAGTCACCAGGTGAGTATCTAGGCCCAAACACAAAACCAGAACCTCCAAAGCTATCTCCTAATCCAGAAAACCCACAGTCCTTGAAATATGGTAAATTAAGAGTGCCATTCCTATTCCTCTAGATTATGGACAGCCCAGCCTTGAAAAAGGAATCTGATCCAGGCACAACAGCATTCTTATCAGGGATAATTTTGTCTTCACCTCAGAACATTCAAAGTCAGAAGACAGTAAAATCATAGAAGATGTTCTTTCAAACACAGTTACACGAATTTTCAAGACATCTTTGAGACTATTACAGAAGTGTCACTTTTCTTCCCTTCAACACAGTCCCACAGTGACTGTCACCTAAACAAAATGGTATACACACCTCAGATGGCCTTGTTTGCCAGTAGAATGAAAAATCTGGGGACTTCATGGATAACAAAAGAAAAAAAACTCACTTCAGAGAGAAACAAAAAAGCCTTCAATAAGCTGAATGATGATGCTTACTGATCTTTGTAACAAGCTGGATGGTTTTAGTGAGGTGGGTATCATTCTTTCTCCCAGGTAACAAACAACAGGACAAGAGTCAATGGGCTCAAGTTGTGCCAGGGAAGGTTTAGATTGGCTATTAAGAAAATTTCTTCACCAAGAAGTTTTCTAAGGACTGGGACAGGCTGCCCATGGAATTGGCCAAGTCACCAGGCCTGGGGGTATTCAAAAGACATGTAGATGTGGCATTTGGGGTCATGGTTTAGTGGAGGACTTGGTAGTGCTGGGTAATAATTGCTGGACTCGATGATCTTAGAGGTCTTTTCCAACCTAATAGATTCTGTGACTCTGTGAAAACAGAATGAATGCTGGTGGCCTTGCTCTCAAATATCAGTGTCCAGAAGAAACTGAAAGTGAGTTAAGAATGCTTCTACCCTTTAGACAGTTAGCAGGAAACACAATGTGATACAGGGTTCCTGGGCTGCTAATGACATCTTTTTGGGAAACTCTCCAGTTCAGTGAGCTCATGTGTTAAAAAACAAATGTGTAAGCTTGGTGTACAATAAAATTTTCTTACTGAAACTTTGGTCAATAATTTTTTACCAATATGTAAAATGAAATACGCAGTCAATATAAAAATACTATTAGTAGCATAATTTCTTAAAATGATGCATGTCTTGCAAAACTGTGCATTTATGCTAAAAATTTCAAATAAATAATTGTCTGAAGTAAATATTCAGCTAAAGTTGGAGAAAGGTGACAACATTTTCATTCATATTCAGCATGAATCACATTGACTTTAAGGAAAAACACCAGTATGCTTAAATAGTGAGTTACAGTATTTAATCATTAATCCTGTGGAAAATACCAAAAACTATTTTATGTGCTGGTTAGTAGATGATGTCCAGAACTTCCAAGTGGCACCAGCAGATAGATTGTTTCTGGTCATAATGGCATCTAAAATGAACTTACGAAACTTTGACATCCCCCTCAGAGTTTTTTTCTGTCCTGGTCAGGCACTTGTAGAAGAAACTGCTGAAAATGTGGGTACGGTCAGCAACATGCTTTGGTGCCTTCTCCAAGAACAGATATCTATCAAAGAAAAAAACAAAGTTATTATATTCTTTTTCTAGAAAGTACTGTCACTGTTTAAAAAAAGGGCAGTTATTCTAATGACTTATCATACTCAGATTATGCTTAGTATCAGTTGCCTTCACAGCCACTAATCACACCAAACTTTTCTATTTTAACTATTCACATGGGTGCACACCATCAGACTATGTAACAGCCAAATACCTACTAAGAATGAAGTTATTTTTTGTCCCTGATTTTTTCTCCAGTATTCAAGCTTCTGATTTTATTTTGAAAGTTAGGTACCTAGCCTTCACAATTAAGAGAGACTTGAAAACCTGACGAAGTATAAACCTATGGAATGCTATACTTGTACATAATCAAAAATCATGGAACAGGTCAGTTAAATTGTCCATTTCACTTTGCAGGTTATGCATGTGAAAGCTAAGTACCTTTTATTACTGCTGATAATTTTATTATGAACATCAGTTTCAGTGTTTATTTTGTCACTCTAGAAGGCCAAAGCTCTCATAATTGCTGTTATCCTACACGATGTGCCTCCAGCTTCACCTAATGAATTGGGCAACAGAGTCATATGACATTGCTTGGAACAAAATGAAAACTGAGAATGTGGGAAGTCTTAACAAATTTTAAAAGCAGAGGAATTCCTACAACAATTGCATTAAGTTCTTTTATTTAAATCTTCATTTTCTATTGAGAAGCTACAGCTATACAGAGGACCATGATGCATTATTTAGTTCTAGTTTAGAGAAAATACAAGGGGCTTTGCTGTAAAACCCATTTGAAACACTATTACATACTCCTTATCCTCTAGACAAGTCTTCCTATTGCTCACAGTTCTTGCGCCCATCTGGACGCCAAATAAAATGCAATTCCTGCTGACAAGCTTCTAACTCTTCTTAGGTCTAAGTCAGAGTGAAAATAAACCACAGCTTCAGGGACTGGTGGCCACAAGGCCAGCTCTTGAAAAATTGCTTTCACAAACAACTTCAGCACAATGGCTTGGAGTAGCTAAGCCAAGCACAACTTCCTCAAGATGTATCAGCTGTGTTCCTTTCTGCTGATCTGCATCAGAATACCTGAAATTGCACAGAATAGCAGAGGATGCTCCACTTCGTGCAAACTTAGTAAATAAAATACTACTGCAGAACTTGCACTTTTTTTAACTGCCTACTTAACACTTTCTGTTCTGTAAGGTCAGCAATAAGTATTTTTCCTCCAGTTATTCTGTCTGGATTTTATCACAGCCCTTCAGAGAGACAAAACCAATGAAAATAAAACAAATAAAACTGCTAAGAACACAAAAAAGCTTTTTAAAAAGTCAACATCCAATCCATCACATTGTTACTTCTGAAATTATTGTATTTAGCAACCAACACTTGTAGTAACATTCAAGTCATGCCCTAGAGAGTGAGAAGAGTACAAGAAGGGCTGAAATTACTTACTTAAGATAGAAATCAATGATGACATCATTGAGAAACTCTCCATATTCTAAGCACTCTAGGTCTTCTCTTGTGACTCCCAGTCCTCCTTTTGCAGGTGGGGGTGGATAAACAATTAAACTAGAAAACAAACCATGTCATAGCAGTGACAAACTGTTTTACGCAGCAATGCTCTGAGTATGGTTGTCTTATATGTAGAAGATTTTCTAGAAAACCTGTGAAAAACAGTAGTTCTCAAAGCTTTACCATTCCCTCCTCCAACATTTAGGTGTTACAAAAGAAATAGCACCCCAATGCACCTTGAATCTTTAATAAAAACTTTTGAAAAGCAGACTAATTTTTGCCTTCATACTGTGTTTCTATTTTTGATCAAAGTATTTGAAAAATTACTATAGAAAATGTGAAGAAATACCAGAGGACAAATGGTTATAATAAGATTGAACGTGACAGAACAGTAAAAGATAACATTGTTCAGATTTTATAAAAAGTTAGCTTAAGTTAGTAAGTTTTGCTAAGATAGCCTTAAATGGATACTGACAGAACCCATGAGATCCCCACGCTCCCTACTGATGCACTCATGATATGACCTAGTCATCATAGACCAGATTTGCTCTAATTTCTGAGACTGTCATCCTATAACACATCCGTATTTTCTTTTAACAGGTAATTACACTGATATTTGCTGATATTTTAGATTTGAAGAGTGACTTTCATACAACACTTTCAAATCAATGAGAAAATGGCAGGTGAGGGCTTTTATTCCAGTAATTAGTTTATTCAATTCCTTATATTTTCCTTTTCTCATTTTTATGAAATACACTTACTTTGTAACTGCTCCCATTTCTCTTACTTCTTTCCATTCTTTATTCAGTGCAGAGGACAAATAGATAGAATAGCAGCCACTATTCTGCTTATTTGCAAGGGCATAACTGGGCCTGATCACCTTTAGCTTTGATTCCTACCGGAAAAACACAAACAATTGTAAAAAGCTTTATACAGCTTGATACATAAAACACAACACACAAAAGCCAAGTCTAAAATCCACAGGAGTACCCAGCACCACTGAAGAGGGTTCTTGCTGGAGATCCAAAGTATAAACTTAGGTATTTGGGCAAATGTGACATTGCTTAGACAAGTAAAAAGTTATGAATATTTTTTTTTAAATTACAGATCTTAGTTCATAATCTCTCTTGAACTATTCAAGCATTATTCAGCCAAGCGAACCAGAAATTATTTTGGAGAAGAAACATGAAAGAGTGGAGACTCTTCAGTATCAGACTGTCTTACCAGGAGCTGTATATTCTTGGAAGGTTTGGAAATCTAGTCCTTGAACAATTTGCCTAAAAACAATACATATTTGAGCTGCCTGGCTTCCTTTCAAAGTTTTCCTTCCCCAATTTGATGGACCAGATTGATCTGCCGTCTCTTGGCTTTTTACTGGTGGGGACAAAGATATGTAATTTCTGTGTGACAGTGATGTGGGGTTGTGTTTAAACATTTACTCAGGAGATTAAGCCAAGACAACACATTAACTTGCACAGACTCATCTCCTCAGCAGTCTGAGGAATAATTCAGCATTTTCAAGCTGTGGCAACCCCACAAGTACATCTAAAGGTGTCTGGAGGGCCATCTACACAGCTCCTCCTCTGCTGCATTTCCAGCTCAACTAAAAAAATGGTTCTATTACTCACTGCTTGATGAACTACCTGCTTGCAGGCCTAGAGATACCACCAGGGCAGAACACCCCTGTGTTTCTAAATTTACACAACTATGAATTCATCTAAAGCATTGGTACTTGTCACTTACTGATAAGGTCTAGAGGCTATCCCTCTGTGGGCACAATCTACCTGACTGCAAATTTTGGAATAATAATTCATTGCTCAAAAAAAGCCAGTCATGAAGAAAGAAGGCTGACCTAAAACGTACTCAAATGTGTGAATGCCAACCAGTGGTGACAATGAAGCAACAGCTATCCACTAACCTGAATTAAAGGCTCATGAGCATCTGAGGTATTGTCTCTTGGCATGTATTGCTTTAGTAGATGCTTGTTACAACTCATGAAAGAGCTTTCTTCAGGAGAAAGATCCTTAAACAAAGGTAATGCTTGTTTCAAAGACAAAAACTCAGCAAGATCTGGTGCTCTGTTCCTCTTGCTGACACCGGTAATCAGTTCAGTCAGTCTGTCTTCTTCCCATTCTGTGAGTGGTTGAGACAGTTCAAAAAATACAAATTCATTGGATTTGGCTGAAAAAAAAGAGAGAATGGATAATATTAACTATTAGATTATGTGACAGAAACTTGTCTAAACACCCACAAAAGGAACTTAGGGAGACAATGGCAGGAGGAGAAGCCCAAACAGTACCCTGCCAGGTTCATCACATGGGCCACCAGCCCACAGAAGTCACACTTTCACAGGCCCAGAGGAGCACATAAAAATGGCAGGTAGGAACCCAAATTACGGACTGAGGAACAGACACAATCAGGGCCCTTCCCAGGGCTGTCCTAGGAGAGTCTCAACCCAAAGGTCCAGACCCAAAACCCATCAAGCTAAGTCAATGCCAGAGCACTTTTTGGACTGAAAGGGGGTTGCTGCTGAGGTGTACAGCACACATGACGAGATGCAGGGAAAGAGTATTTTGGGATTGCACAGGACTTAATATAGGTTGTTTAAGGAAAGACCTAAAGGCAGCAAAGACAGACATTCAGGTAAGAAGAAGTATGGGCAAAGAGAGGGTAAAGGGCATAAGAAGGACCAGTCACATTTAAATACTTTGCTGGTCAGTGCACTTGTCTGGCCATGCCATGAGCATGGACCAGCACAGCATATCCTTGTCTTGTTCTTAAAGCTCTTTCTAATTCTCCTGGCTGAGAAACTCCTCTGAACCCTCTCAGGCTGTCAGATCCACCACAATATATTTTCCTCTAATATTAACACACTGAGGCAGCAGAGCAGAATCCTAATAATAATTTTCACAATCCATAAAACCTCCACTGATTATTTCAACAAGTCTCTAAAAACATGTCACAACATTCACATTACTGTGTAAAATTAAAGGGCTTAAACAGTCCAACATAGAAATTTAATACAAACTCCTGATTATTTCTCCAATAACAATGTAACATATGCAAATAAACCTAATACTAAAAGATGCCTTGCATCTTCGTACTCACATTCCACTCGTTTCACTAGGAACTGTGTACAGAAGGTACCAGTAATTTCAATAAACTTGCATGAACTCAAGGTAGCTCTCTGCTAAAACTTCATTCAGTATTTTGCTTCAAACTACTTGTACTCCTTACATAAAGCTGCCATTACTTATAATTTTTCTTCATACCAGTGGTGACTGTCTAGGGAATACATACCATTAAACGCCACACAGACAATGCTGCCATCTTTTTCATAGATGCTATTTGCAATGATTTTACTTACGTAAAAACCTTGTATGATTGTGCCACTCTGAATATGTGAGCCAAAGTTATACCTTTTTTTACAGGGCTTCATGCTAAAAAACCAAATACAATGAGTCCAAAATACCCTAAGACTAAACAGCCCATTTGGCTTTTAGTGGAAATATTCTTCAATAATAACGCAATGGCTCACTGCAGTCTTGCCAAAAAACTCAATATTTACTTGCCCAGCCTTTTGTTTAGCATATACAATACTCAAGAGATGAGAGTATTTAAAACATCCACATATTTTAAATGGAGAGATGCTTTGTACACAAGTCTAGTTTCAGAAGGCCTTCTGACAGAGACTACAATTAAATTGTTTTAAGTATTTTTATTAAATATGGAGTACTTTTGAATCACATTATATCAGCATTTTTTCTTTCAAATAAAAGTACAGTGAAGCATCCTAGAAATGCAGAATTAATCAACTTATCAACTGATACAGCCTCACCTTGAGTACATGTGTGCAATTTTGGGCACCACAATATAAAAGTGACATTAAGCTATTAGAGAGCATGCAGAGCAGAGCCACAAAGATGGTGACAGGCCTTAAGGGTAAGTCATACAAGAAGCTGCTGAGATCACTTGGCTTGTTCAGTCTAGAGAAGAGACTGAGGGGAGACTTCATTGCAGTTACAACTTCCTCATGAGAGGAAGAGGAGGAGCAGGCACTGATCTCTTCTCTGTGGTTACCAGTGACAGGACCCGAGGGAATGGCCTGAAGCTGAGTCAGGGGAGGGTTATTTGGATATTAGGAAAATGTTCTTCACTCAGAAGGTGGCGGGCACTGGAACAGGCTTCCCTGGGAAGTGGTCACAGCACCAGCCTGAAAAAGTTCAAGGAGCATTTAGACAATGCTGTCAGGTATATGGTATGATTCTTGGGGATGGTGGTGTGCAGGGCCAGGAGTTGGACTTGATGATTCTTCCAACTCAGCATATTTTCTGATTCTGTGATCTTTAAAATGCTATAGGCTTTCTGCTGCATTCAAAAAACACAGCTGTAAAACAAGCACTTTACTGACACGACCACTTCACTGCACTTAAGGGAAACAATGACTCACATGGCTTGCTGGTAACTAACTTTCCCATCTGGGTTTCAATCTTTTCTACATAATCCACAGAAAACCAAAGAAAAATAATTGTTGAAGAACAGCCACCATCACTTTTCCACCAGCCAAATCTTCTCAGATCCAGTGTATCCACTGTCAGCTGAATGTTCTTAAGAGACACTGTAGAAAACAGAATTCAAAAAAAACCCATGCTCTTAACAGCCACAGATAGTCATACATGTTACAGTAATTACATGCTGAGAAGTATGACCAGAGTGTATTAACACAATACTTCCAGACTCTATTCCTTGCATTGCAAAAAATACTGAGAATTCAATATTTAAGTCAGTTATATGAAACTGCATAAAACAAAGTTGCTAAATTGTAACACAAAAATCTAAACACCTGATTGCAGAATTCTCCCTGAAAAAGTAGTTTTTTCCTCAAAATAACCACAGTAAATATGCTAAAAATATGGAAAAAAGAATACTGCAAATCATTAACTCCTATTTGCTTTCAGTCAACTCAACTTAGAACTGCTCATAAACCTTTTCCTACCACACATCATCTTGGAAAATCAGCTGAATGGAAATCTACAGTTATATTCCTCTTAGCTTTAGTCTATGCATACATTTTTGTAAACCGAAGAATCTAAAATGCTGATTTGAAAAGTCCAATGTTTCACCTCAAAAACATGCATAGTATTATCTACAATAGTTCAACACCTAAAATATGCAGGAATATGGGAAGCAAGCCATCAAAACTACAAATTCACCTTAGAAGTACAAGATGATGCTAAGTTGTTAATGTTTACACTATAGACCCCAACACTTACTTACTGAAAAACAAAGAATTAAAAACTATGTAATATCTTTGTGAAAGATAATAAATTATTCGTAACAGAAATACATACTTGGTGTTTTAATGCAAAACTTTAAAGATACAATTAAGAAAAGGCTAAAGAAAAGAAAATTATCTTACCCTGAAGTGGGATCACAATATTTTTCTTTGTGAACTGAAAAAAGATTTTCAAAAATATAAATTAGTTCGCATTTTACAAATTGATTAAAACACTATATGGATTTCTAAAAATCTGCACATTTTTCCTTATAGTGAAATAAACTGAAAATAATATAATAGAATCATTCAGTTTCTAAAACACTATTAAGCTCAAGTCAAATACACTTAGTTTGAGAATTTATATTGCTTATAACACCTAAAAACATTCCTAAAGTCACTGCAGAACCTAAACAACAGCAAGTAACTTTCAGAGATGCAAAGCACTGAGAAATAATCACAAAATTACAAAATTGCCTGTAGGCTCCTTAAAAAGAAGGGCAAAGATGAACACTTGGGACAGAAGGAGTTAAAGCAACCCGTGAGAAGCTGTCAGATGCACTGCTTGAAGTAAGGACATGATAGAAATAAGTTCAACTTTATACTGGTATCACTTTACATTAATCTTTGAATTAAAGGCCTTTAAAGATTCCACTTGCACTGCTGTTATGTTAAAGAGATTTTGCTAAACAAAAAATGCTTTATTGTCACTTTGACAAAAGGTTCATATATTAACAAAGGTTTCCCCTGTGGCACCACAGTAGGCACAAAGTTGTGTTTGCCAAGGAAACTTCTACTTTACATCTAACAGCATTGATTCTAAAACTATTTCAAGTCATCCTTCAAATTATTTTTGCCTACTAATTTAGGAAATTTCCATGAAATGCTTTTTTGACTGCTATTTTATGAAAACTGAAATTATTATTACAATCCAAGATTTCAAAATGTCTTACTGAAGGTAGAAGAAGATATAAAGGTTCCAACATCTCCTTTACAGCTGCAATATACAGAATTAACCTGGTCAAAGACCTGTTGAAACTCCTGGAGCTGGTGCTCCATTTAAAAAACATCTTCACTTATGTTTCTATACCCTGTGAGTAGCACACTGTCTACACACTAAAGCTTTTAGTATTGTTTTTATGCTCTCTGAAGCCACAAAGCAAGCAATTTTCTGTTTAAAAGGCAAGAGCATAGTATATATCTGAACTCTGAGCATTATGAACTACTTTATCAGAACACAATTAGTATTTCTGAGAGAAGTAATTGGTCTTTATTTTAAGTGACACTAACTGACCATTAATATGGCCGTTGTTTTCTGTTGCAATTCCTTCAAACTTCCTCAGTATGACTTGTGTTCCAGTACAGCATTTATACAGAACCTTTATACATGAAAACAATGGCCACAGAAAATCACAGCTTTTCTACTCACAGCAATCCAAATGCACAAGGCAATGGACCATACACTCCATTGTTTAGCCAGAGGAATTTAACACAACAATAATAAGAACTCTGTGCTTCTGCACTAAGTATCACTGACTTCCCTTAATCAGAATTTTAATTTTAAAATATTCACGAAATAGCATAAAAGAACAACTTACCCTAGCAGGACCTGTTGATAAACACTTAAATTTCCCAATGTGTAGCCTATCAAATTCAACATCCAATGCTAGGTTTGCCTGCTTTCTAGGTGTGCTTCCAGAAGGTAAGCTGAGAGGACATTTATCTTCAACTGACTCTGTTAAAAACTGGAAAAAAGTGTATTTACTACAGGACTTATTATATACACCCCTCCTGTAACCTGAGGAATACTTTTTTCTTCACATTTGTAAGAAATGACTCCCAAAGCCAGCTTCCACACAGAAAATTCATATTCAAAACTTCTGAGTTACATCCATTACTGACAATGTCCTTAAGGGTGTAAGAGTACCTTGCTACACTTCCATTACCAAGACACAATCTATGCTCTTGACTTGGTTCTAAATTAGTAAAAACTCAAACAACAGAGCAACAAAATAATACCCTTCTTTTCATAGCAAAGCTTCAGGATCTAAATCAATGCTTATGATTGAATTGATTCACCTGTGAGAAGAGGCAGCAATGACTCTTCTGATTTGTTTCAGGATTACAGAGATAACCCACATCCAGGTCAAAGCAAGCACCCAAAGGTTAATCAAGTCCAAAACGGGGCAAACATCTTTATGGCTACTTTTAGATTCAAGTTCTACAGCTAGCCCGACAGGAAAGGGAACTTCACCTTAGCTCTGTCTGCTGTCAACGAAGATCCTTGAACTGAAACCACTGAATTGCAACAGAAGATTGGATGATAAAAAGCAACTATGATCAACAAAAAACAGCACGTGGAAACAAATTTTTCCAGAAATGTATCTCCATCATGTCTGTTTCTAACTCAGGTTACTATTTGATCTTTCTACTTTCTGATATTAAGTATTTCCAAATGTATATTGTCAAAATAGGAAATACATTGTAGCAAGAACACCCAAGCTTCAGAACCAGAGATACTCTCTGAAAACTATCCAGTATTCTAATAATAAATTATTTGTAATTCTAGTAATACTAGAATTCTAGTAATACTAATTATTAGTATTCTAGTAATAAATTACTGCAGTTTCTGCTTGTGGCTGGGACCATAATAAACTATCATTTTCTATAACAAGCATTACAGAAATAAATTAAAGACTTGGCATAACAATACATAGGCCAAAAACTGGACTACCTGTTCTGTGTGACTTTTCATTTTGTCTTCTAATTGCTTGGCTGAGAAACAGAAGTCAGACTGCGGGTGTGTTTCTTTATTTTCAGTGATATTATCGTGCATCAGCTCTGTGCATTCTAGTTCAGAAGGTCCATCTTCATCATCACTGGAAAGGATAACTAAAAAAGAAGTACACATACACTACAAATTACAGACCTGAGAATATTTCATTCCTTGTGGGTTTCAGACAAGAACTCTGTCTTCTGGTATATGATATCAAGGTACACTGCTCAGACCAGTCAAGATCTGCGTGTGTGCAATTTAATGCAACAAACGCTGCTCTGCATCTGTACGAACACCTTTTATACCAGATCCTCACAATTATTTGGCTATTAAATGAAACAGGACACAGCACAGCTGCTTCAAAGAATTTTTTGTCAGTTTTAGCATCATTAAAAAGTAAAAGCTCAGTTTTTCTACAGCCACAAAATCAGCTGAAAAAAAGGATTGGAATTTGAGAATCTTGCTGTCTAACCTATTTCTCAGGTACATCCTGACACTAGGCACTATTCTCTAACGTGCAAAATGCATTACAAACAACAGGATGGCTGTCTTCAATCTTTTGTTCCCTATGTCTCAACTAGCCAGGTATGTTCGAGTTCTCCTAGTACCTAAGTGTAGCACCAGTAATTGCATCAGCACAGACACAGTACATACTTGGGTCAATGGAAACAAGTTGCTGATTACCCCTGCAGATTCTGTTCCGCAGATTGCTCAGGTACTCTGATTTGTCCATCTTTAATTTCCTGATCATACTAACTTGTGGTGAAATCACATCTTCACTGGCAGCAGAAAGCTGTTTCTTTGACAAATTTCTGGAAGGAGACTCTGAGGCGGAATCCTCTGTGTGGCTTTGAGCAGGGCTTAAGTGGTTGTGGGTGGAAGTGTTTTCAAAGTCTCTCTCTGCTGGCGAGTCTGGCACCAGAATAGGATTAGATCTGTGATCCTGTCCATCCTCACAACATATTCTGCAGCTAGAAGACTGAGTTGAACTCAAACTTTGCTTTTCCTAGAAATAGGAATCAGAGACAGGATGTAAGTTTATTACTTGACATTTCTCGACTGTTCAGATCAGCGATCACTGGTATTACCTGTGTGCTAGAAAAAATATCTATAGCTTAGTACAGTGACATTTAATGCTCAATTCAGGATAATTTCTCCCTCTTCATATTCCAAAGACTATGATTACATAAAGCATGAGGAACAACCTTTTAAAAGGCTACAATGACCCCTATTGAAAATTAACAAGGAACCATTTCTGATTTTTAGCAGTTCTGTCAGTGTCAGACATAATAATCAGTGCTGTTCTTTACTTTTCAAAAGTATGGCTTAGTCAACTGGGTTTAACAGGTTTGGTAACTGCCTGTCTCTGTAGGATTTAAATCAGAAGTCTACAGAGATTCCTTTATTGTTTATATTCAAATGCTTAAATATAAATCACACTTGGTACTTGACTGATTCCTTCAGTCTTATTTGTTGGGTTTTTTCCAAATCCTGATGATGGGTAAGAAGAAAGCTTCAGGGAAAAGTACAATAGACTAAGAGGGAAGCAAAAAGATGATATCCGCAAGATTTAAATAACCTCAAGTATACTTTGCAGTTTTGCTGCTAAAGCCCCTAATTAGTCCCTAATTCTAGATCATCTGTGAAAGAAGTTCCACTTAAGTAGCTAGATGCCTTATTTTCAAACCTGTTTGAATCTATGCTCCTGTCTGAAGGAAAAAGTCATTGATCTTTCATAACCTTTCTGCTACAATAAGCACATTGTGATATATGGACAGAAAAACGTTTGTTCACTCCTTGTGATGCAACACTAAACTACTTCCCCTCAATAGGTAATACTTGGTAATACATAGTATAATAAATCCTATGTATTAGCATAATCCTTTCATTTGGGATGTTGCTACTGCTGCTAATGAAGTGTGTGTGAATGTGTGCTAAAATTAAGTGCAACTTACAGAGAATGCAAGTAACTTTTGTGGAATGTGTGCATTACAATCATCAGAAATATGGCCACTATATCTTCTTTTCCTTTTCTCGGAATCAAAAGAGCCTGATTTCTTCTGACTAAGAGTAGTGCTGTTCATGTGTCTGCTCCTCTTCTCCAGTTCACCACAGTGCTTGTTTTCTGTGTCATGAAAAAAAAAGTAATTTAACATATTACCCTTAAAAACCTTTATATTTCTTCATATTGTTTGTCTTATATAAAAATGCATGGAAGCAAGTATCCTCCACAATAAGTTATTTTTTAATTGTTTGTGGCTGCCAAAACATAGTCCCTAAAATTATTATTTTTTCCGCAAAATTAGTCAAGGGTATAACCAAATTCATTCAGCTCTTTTCCAAACGAGAATTAGCACTTTATACTCCACAGTCTCTTTATCTTCTGCCAAATACAATAGTCTCAATTTCCTGTTGTAATCTGCAAATATTAGTAACCAGCATACACTCTCCAGGCACATTATCCCTGGAAAGTGTGCACAGAGGTAATTATTCTTCAGCAGTGAAAGCAAAAATTGTCTAGCATGAATATTTTTGCTCAAATGATTTGTGAACCCTGCTTTCTTAATGGTTTACACTTTTTATTGTAAGAATTTTTAGAAAATCAAGATTATAACAGTGCAGTGAGGCTGCACTCAGTCTCATTTTTCTTCCACAGATTTGATTCAGCCTTAGTTTTATTCCTATTTAAAACTAGGCATTTGATATATTTTTACTGTATCAGTAAAAAATAAATTGCATTCTGAGGAAACACATGCACTGTGTGCAACATCTCAATTTATTTCTGTGCTCTCCTCACAACACTAGAGGAAAAAAGGAAAATATTTCAATACTCTCCAAAGTTCATACTTCACTGCCAGATGACTGCTCACTACAAACCTTTCTTCTGCAGCTCTCGTCTTCTAAAAGTGACAGCATTAGTTTTTTCTAGTTCCTTAGAAGCCTTGGTCAATTTACACAGTTTATCATCTGTCTTTCTCAGGCAATGTTCAGACCTGTAAATAATATTACTTATGACTTATCTTTAATTTTGAAATAATACTGAATAAAAATCCCAACAGAAATAAGAGCTGGCCAGACTTCAAACTTCTGCCTCTCCCATAAACATGTGGGCCTCGCCAAATTAATTCAGTTCAGTCGTGGAAATACACAGATACTCCAACATTATTAATGAAACAGATGCTTCTAAAAATCACAGTATGAGACATATGGCATGCTTGAGATCAAACACTAAGACATTATTTGGCTGTAAGGAATGACTGAAACAAGAAAACATAAGGAAAAAAGAGAACAGTCAGTTGACTATCCTTGCGTTTGTAATGAATATGGTGGAAATGTAATATATTTTTAACTTTGATTCAGAACTGCTGATAGAATGCTTTGAGTAAGACCCCGAAATGTGAAATTATTTGAACTAGAAATTCCTGCTCAAAAGGGCCTGAAACAGTGACTTTAAAGGTGGTGGAGAGGGATGTGACATAGAAAAACAAAAAGAAAAGGATTACAATACTTAATCCAAATGGATTTTGTGCTCATCATTTCATAATGTGCTCTACTCAGAATGTTGTGGTCTCAAATTTTTGAAGAGCTAAGTGATTATCACAATGCCTGATATCACTAACAGCCAAGCTTCAACTCCTAAAAATCCACACCCACCATGGCAAAAAAATTTCTTGACATCTCTAAATAGACACCAAAACTGTTGAACACTTTTGGAACAGATGACTACTCTTTAGTGACCTGCCTGTAAACTGGAGTATCAGTGCTCTTTGGGAATTCAGTACAGACAAAGATTTCTGGAGTGCTCCAACACTACAGTGATGAACACTGTGAAAAAATTATTGATTATCTTTCCATTCACAAAGAATCATGAATTAGAACACATCTAGAAGCAGTTTCCAGTAAGTGCTATTGTTCCTTCTGTATATAGAACAAGACAATCTTCCATAGACTAGGCAGGTCACTACAGAAAACTTAAATTTTGAAATGCACACTTCTCTCTCAACTAAAATATTTGTATGCCTAGCAGCTGTATAGATTTGACCGTCTTAAGGGACCATACAAAACCACCAAGTGTTTTTCAGCATTTGCTTTACACCAACATCACAATTCAGGATATTTAACAGCACAAATCACCTGAATAGGGCTGTTTCAGCTAATAGATTTTCCTAAATATATTTGCTTCATATATAAATTCTGCACATTTTATTTTCAATTCCAGCTTAGCTGATAATTCGGTTTAAAATGCACCCTATAATAGATATATGTATCGCCTATGAAGTTATGGCAATAGATACTGTAAAGTGTTCTTAACAACCATGAGAAACAAATACTGTAAACAAAGTTTCTTTACACTTAAAACCTACCTCAAATTCATTAGTTACACTGACAGGTCAGTGCTCACTTAAATAAATGAATTTCACATTGGGTTGCAGTAAAGCAACAAAAATCCACCAAATCTGTAATACAAAGAGCAAGAATGGAAAGAGAGAGCTGGCACTAAGTTCTAGCTGGTAGAGATAAGTTAATTTATTACCACTCAGTTCTGATAACATGTAATTCTTTGACTTGACATGAAATTTCCATAGTACAAGACTAGCACAATTTTCAGCAATATAAAGCACACGTTCTAGCTACTCTGACGGTACAAAAGACTCTGTATGATCCTGTGCATATATATGCATAACACTTACAAAGAGGGAGCTTTTATTATTCTCCTCCAAAGAAGAGACCCCAGAAGAATCAGTGCCAAGTGTATATAATGCACTGACTTTACTTACAGACACGTGACCAGGATCAAGCCATGACTTTGTTGAAATAACTCCTAAATTCTCCATTTCCAATCTGGTATCTATTACAAATTGCAGTAAAGTGCTAATCACTGGGGAAGGGTGAAAAATCATCCTAATGTTGGTTCCTGAGAAACAAGCCTTTTACACTAGAAGTTAGAAAACCATGCAACAGGTACAGAATATTTATCATTCAAACAATGAGCCACTCCAAATATAAAGCAAATTGAGTTCACAACTACAAAAAAATTACTAGCTCAAACCATTATTATGCTTAATCTGTAATATTGTGCTCCAGATATGAGCCAGAACAAATACACAAGATGTATACCCAGATTTAAAGCATTAAATACAAGAGTTCATGTTTTCCTGTCTATATATCCACTACTTCCCATCATCCAAAACTTTACAAAGTGAAAAAAATCAGACACTAAAAAATTAGTCTTATTTTGCAATAAAACAAAACCAAAAAGCCCCCAAAAACCTAAACTCATACCAATCCAAATACCCCACACTTCAGCCAGCCTTAAGTTACAGAAAATTATTAGCAGCAAGTATGATACTTTGAAATGAGACAGCCTAATAAACTGTTCTCTCGAAATCTCATTTAAATTGAAGCTTTTTCAGGTTAATTTAAGCAGCAATGGGTGACCCAATAGGAAAAAAAAATAATTGCTATTAATTTCAGTTCTCTAAGATGCTGATGTATCAGAATGAGGAATGACTGACTTTTCTCAGTTGTAACCTGGGAACTGTTATTTACTCCTGCCTTCAAAAAAATCCCCCACATCATTCTTCTCTTCTTCATCTTTCTACTCTCTTCCTCAGAATTTCCTGCTATTTTTTCCTGTGGAAAATTTGCTGTTGAGCAAAGATTTAGACATAACAGACAAAAGGAGACAGCTTACTTTGAATGCAACTGCCACCTTAGACCAAAACAGATATTATTTAATTCTAATATCTGATTTCTGCTAGTTTTATATGTCAAACATTACTGTGATGCTCAGTCAACCTAAATATAGGAAGAAAAGATGAAAAGTAGAGGTTAAGTGGTAAGAGGACACACAACCCTTAACCAAAGCCACCCTGTTAGGAATACTGAGACCCCCAGTGGGTTAATGTGAAAAGAAATTAATTATCACAGAGAGGAATTTGGAGATATTTTGCAAAAGAAGTTCTTTTAAATCATGCTAGAACACTTTAACACCATCAGGAAAGCAAGACTCTGGTTCTGGACACAAAACCAACTTAGATGAGTTTGAATTACTTGTGTTTCTTCCCAAATCAAAACAGTGATGCACTGTAAACAGGAACTCCTCCTAAGAAAGAAAAGCAGCCTTTTAACACCAGGTCCAGCAACCCTAAACAAATGTAATGTTAAAATGGCTCAGTGGAGAAGCATGTTAATTTGCACTCAGGAAACTGATCTCCTGATTCAAGAAAAGAGTAGAACAAAAGCTGTTTCAGGGAAATCCTTTTCCATTGTGAAGTTGAGTCATTTCAGGAAGACTGGCAAAATCAGCAGTGAGTAACATACCTTTCAGAAAGAAAAGAATTTTCATGAGGAGAACTTAATATTTGACATGTCTGTAGGCTGGCAACAGCTGATGAGGGTAGTTGGCCCGATTGCAATTTGTCAGCAGCAGGTAAATTTGCATCAGTTATTACATGGCTGTCTATGTACTTTCTTCCAATTTTCGTACTCAGGATGTTCGTCAAGACAACTTTGGGTTGCCTGCCATACATATAACAGCAAATCATAAGTACTGCACTGAAATCTAGAGAAACAAACTTCTTGTTAAAATCATGTATCCTAGAGTCTTGATAATTAAACATCAATATTTTTAGTCCCTTAGAGGCAAAAAAAAAATCTCATTAAGAAACTTCAAAAACAAGGAGAGCAGATAAACAGAAAGTAAGACCAAGGTAAGAAAAACTAGCCATGTAATTTTACCTTGGCCAGATACTACGCACACTGCATTGCCTCTAACATATCGTACAGTATTGTTTAAAAACTGGTAAATATTTCTCTCTAAACAGCTTTCATGCAGTATCTGTACACATTTCTCAGAACTCTGGAACAATCTTGATTTTCCTATGAACAAGAAGCCTCCAGTAAAACAGAGCAAATTTTCTGAAGCACTTAATGAACAGGCAGAAAAGTAGCAGGTACACAAAAAGCAGCATTAGATTTTATTCCACTCTTCAACTATGAAGTGGCTACATTATAGCAAGACCCAGAAAAATATCCCAGGTGTTAAAACAGACAGTCATCAAAAATAAGCCAAGCAGAAATATAAAGATGCAACTCCCACTTGAACACACACATGATGTGTAAGAGCAACTTAGCTTACTTCATACAATGTCACAGCAGCCAGCTTGCTGTACAGCCCATATCCACTTCCTTTCTCAGACTGGGATTTAAATTCTACCACTTCCATTGCAATTTGTTTTGGATTAGGTTTTAAGGCTATGGCCTTTTTGAATGTGTTTTGAGCAACACTGCCTTTTGAGTATTGATTACAAAATTCTCCTGTTGTCTGTGTTCATCCATAGAACACACTCCAGCTGTCTGGAGACACTCAGATCTCCTCTTGCTCCAAGATGTAAATTTGCTTTTCATAGGAGACTACCTTCCAGACACAATTGCAGAGACCCATGGGATAAACAATTAAGAGATACAATTTAAAGAGGAAAATTTTAATACTGAAAAACATGTATACTGGATGTAACCTCCAATAAAGGAAGCCCCTAAACCATCTGTCATCAGAATCTCAGACAGAAAACAAAGCATTCACGCTAGCCATACTTCTTCCTGAATATCTACAGTTGACCACTGCTTGCAAGGGTGCAAAGAAGATACTGGACTTGATATGCTTTTCTTCTGATAATTTATGCCAGTTTTCCTATTTTCATGAGTAGTCTAAAGCAGTAACAGTGCAAATACACCCTGATATCTTCTCTGAGAAAAGGGCTGCAGTTAAATTCAAGTGTATTCTTTTCATAATAATAAAAAAGCCGAACATTTTGAGAATCCAGTGGCTAAATTATAATTAATTGGTCTTGACAGTACAGGACTATCTAGAGGCCATTTGATCAGAAAAAACACTACAGCATGCCTGACACCATCTCTCTCAATGATTATCAAAAGGAACCAGATACAAGTGAATTCAGTGAAGTGAGATAAAATACAGTTCACGAACAAGGAAGCTGCAGTACAATAAAGAACATTTTCTCATGAAGAAATAACTGCAAAGAAAATTATTTTGTTTAGTGACATGAGGCAAAGACAACATACCTTTTATACAGGAAAAGACTTTGGAGAGTAGGGTTTAAAATTTGCCATATCTTTATACTGGCAGCAGATGATGAGGGTGCTTGATCTGACAGCAGCTTGCCAGCATCAGAAAAATTAACATCAGTTTTATGTTGCGCCTGCATGTATTTTCTTCCTATTTTCGTCCTCAAGACATTCGTCAAGATAACTTTGGGTTGCCTGCCATACATATAACAATACATTAATAATAGGGTGCTGAGAACTTTTTAAGTCACATGAATTCAACAAAGATATTCCATGACTTTGCTGTCTCTGCATCATACCATATAGAATTAAGGTCACTGCCCTAGCAATTTACAAAGCAGTTCTCTTTGGAGAAGAGCAATCAGAAACTCATCTTTTGATCAGGATAGCCTTTCAAGGTTTCTTCTTCTGGCATGAATGACTAACATAACCGTATGCCATTTTGAAGAGGTAAACTTTCAATGCAGAAACACTGAAGTGGAAATTTTGGCACATTTTGTTATCACAAAATGTTGGAAGTGGTGTTTCTATGGCCTTATAAGCTGTTCTGAAAGTGTACACTTTGCAGGACCATTTGCAGGATATGAAAATAGGCACTTATTTTGTGTCCTCTTATTTTAAAATCACGATTATTATTTGTTCCCATATAGCAGATTAATTATGATCTAGCTGGGGAAAAAAGAAGTTATTACAAATCTCCCAGTTCTGCAGCTCCAACTATTTCTAATTAATTTCACTAAAGAAATTACTTAGAATTATGAATTACAAAATCAGTAAAATGCCCCACTGAAGTTCTTTAAAGAAGTATCTATACTTTGGTAGTTCTGCTAGATTGGTACTGAAGTCTTCATACAAAGAATTAATTCTGCATTATGGCCAGTAATTCGGACAGTTTTCTTACAGAATCATAAGGGTTGAAAAAGATCTCCAAGATCAACAAGTCTTCAGCTGAATACCACCATGCCTACTAAACCATACTGCAAAGTGCCATATCAACTTGCTTTTGAACACTCAGGGATGGTGACTATACCTCCCTGGGCAGGCTATTCCAGTGCTTAACCACTCTTTCAGTGAATAATTTTTTCCTGATATCCAACCTGAACCTCCCCAGCACAACTGGAGTACACGTCCCTTTGTCCTCTCACTGGCTGTCTCAGAGAAGAGACCAACACCTACCTTGCCACAACCTCTTTTCACGTAGTTCTAGACAGCATTAAGGTTTTCCTTCAGCCTTCTTTTCTCCAGACAGAACAGGCCCAGTTCCCTCATGTTCCCAGTTCCTATGCTCCTCATAGGAATTATCTTCCAGATCCTTCACCAGCTCCACTGCACTTCTCTGGACTCACTCCAACACCTCAATGTCCATCTTCTAAGGAGAGGCCCAGAACTGGACACAGCACTCCAGGTGTGGCCTCACCAGTGCCAAGTACAGGGGGACAATTATTGCCCTGGTCCTGCTGGCCACATTATTGCTGACATAGTCCAGGTGTCACTGGCCTTCTTGGCCACCTTGGCACACTCTGGCTCACATTCACTGGCTGTTGACCAGCACCACTAAGGCCTTTTCCACCAGGCATCTTTCCAGCCCCTCTTTCCCCAGCCTGTAGTGCTGCATAAGGTGGTTGTGACCTAATGGCAGGACTTCAGCTTATGGAATTTATAAGCTGAAAAGCATTATAGATCATAGATTTGTCAGGATTTACTTTATTTTGAATCCTCTGAAAACTGAATTTGTTTTCCAAGAGCTGGTCCTATGAAGACACTGAAGTTCAGGCTAATTTGTTGGGTTTTAAAGATTACTGCAGCAAGAATTGGGTTTTTTCCTACTGCATGTCTTGCGTAACAAAAAATCCCCCACAATTGTTCTCACTGTAGAGCAAGTCTCTTTTTAATAGCTAGGAGAAAACCTTACCACTCACATAGCTGTTACACGCATGCTACAGTAACATATCTTAAGCAAAGGGCTGCTATTCCTCAGTGGGTTTACAACTCTGCAAGCAGCTGTAATTGTCCCACCGACAATGCTGCACAAAGCTCAGCAGCCTGGTTACACAGTACCTAGTAGCAGATACAGGTATGGCATGGAAACTTTTGTTGCTGAAGGACAGACACTCTTGAACCTAAAAGAGGATCTGGAACTGCCATGCTAGTGAAACACAACAAACTCGGGGCAGATGTTCACGTAATCCTTTTATTTTGCTCTTTCAAACTTGACATTGAGATTTCCTCACAATAGTTATTTACCATATTCACAAAACACATAACCCCTCACTGCCCCTGAAAAGACAAATGCTCCTACCCACAGTTTCGACAACCTGCCCAGGAGCTGTGGTTGGCTGTGAACCTGATGAGATCTCTGCACCCCTGAATGCCACAACATATATGCCATGAGCTGCTTTCTCCTTAAGCTCTGCTATGCCCTTCCCAGACCAGCCATCTCCAAAATGTTTTAATCACACATCCCTACTAGCAGTAAGTATTTTGAGCATGTGGCTTCTACAAAGTTTATTTAATTGAAATCTACAGAGAGGTACTAGTGACAGGTTGATCTTAAAGGTTTTTTCCAACCACAGTTTTATGATTATAAAGCACGGAAATAGAAGTTTTAAAAGGAACACCATAAAGATGATATAAACATTTATTAATTCTACAAAAAGATTTCTTTCCTGTACCCCAGTGAATTGTCTTATATACTCCACACTTTGGAGACCACAATCTAGACAACACACAATAAATCTAAATGGCTCCTTTTCAAACATAAGTAACTTAAGCTCAAGAGAAGGCAATTTCCTTCACTCTCTGAACCTCTATTAGAAGTTTCCCAAAGAAAAATGGTGAAAAAGAGGTAAGGCTTTACCTCAAAGGACAAAAAAAAAAAAAAAAACAAAAAAAAAACAAAAAAAAAGCACCAACAAAAAAGAACCCCAAACCCACTTAAGGCTCTCTGATGCCAATGAGATGGACACAGGACAAAGTGTTATGTAACAGATTGGTCCTAACTAGCTGTTGGAAAAGCAATCCAGGATTTATCAAGTGAGACATTGGACCTGTGACAGCAGTAGAAAGTCACATGTGCAAAGACAGTCTCATTTGAATACCAACCTAAAGCACAGTAGTGCTCCAGAATGTTTTATGCTGTCTGGAAAAGGCTTTCACCTTTCATTTCTTGCACCCAGTTCTGTGTACAGTCTAGGAACGCTAATGCAAAAAAGTGTTCTGAGAATGTGCCTCAAATACTGTAGATGTCACAGAGGCTTGTTCAACACTGAGGGTCCAGAGATTGGAGTTTCATTTCAGGATGTGCTTTAATTACTGAAACGCTTAGAAAGTGAACACAGAGGGTCAGCTTAGTAACATTAATGTCTTAAATGGCAGAGCTCAACTGTAGCAGCTTAGTGAGCACATCCCAAATCTGGCAAGTGTTCTTGATTCAGCACAGGAAGAAAGAGACTTCTTTTTCTATAGAAATCCCCACTAAATTAGAAGTTTTGGCTTTCTTATGGACTTCTCAAACATTGAGCTCACACATGAACCACAGTTTAATACCTCAGAAGAGTTTATAGCAACCAGACTTCTACATCATTTGTTGTTTGTCCACTGTAACATATATTAGAAATAACAAATAAATAAGCAGTAGCTAAGGAAATAGAGAATATATATATTTAAGAAATGTGATCAATTAAAAATTCACCTACACAAGAACTTATTAGGCTGTTAAGAAAATTTACAGCCACTGAAGCAGTTAAGGAAAATTTCAAGGTAGAAGTCAGGAAGAAAATTTGCACAAGTTATCTTTTGAAACTAGACATTCACTCTTGTGCTTTAAAATTCCTCCCTAAAGACAAGAAACACCCAAACTACTTTAGAGGGCCAGCTGCTGTAGAATAAGGAACTGAAGTCACTTCAGTTCTTGGGATGCCAGAAGAGATGATGCAATGAAAGACTAAGACAGCTATTCTCCCCTTCTACAACAGGACTCAAAATTGAAAATCAAACCTTAAAGTAACTAAATGGTGTTTTTTCCTCCTAATAGAGAATAGTTATAGAAGTAAGTCCTAGCAATATACAGATGTGAACCAAAAAATTGCTGCTTTTAAAAAAATATGTCTTAAAATCATTATTGCAGGGGATCCTGAGACAATATAAATGTGCTATTCTCTATGGAGCACTTGAGCTCTCCTGACTAAAAACAAACCAAGGCTATCAATTTCCCAGATCTCAATTCTTTCAGTTTTCATTGTTCCACCTCACAGAAATGACTTTTTATTTCTCTAACACATGATATCACAATGAAATTTTACTAAATTTAGGTTCAGCTCAAACAGCGAGGTAATTAGTCCAGTAGGAACACACAAATAAAATAAAGACTCTGTGACCATGTATGATCAAGAGTTGTAAAGATAACAGAAAATATTCCAATGTTGAGTGCTTAAACAGCATAATGACAGAAAAAGTCCACAGCAGGAGGTAAAGGAGTCAGAAGCACAATTTCATTACCTATAGTTTGTTGGCCACCCTGAAAATTCAAGTCAGACATCCTTTGCTCACACTCACATCAAGCTAGACCTTAACAGGCTCCAGGCTCCTCTATAATTTGGTTTAGTGATTGTTACTTGAAACAGAACTTGTGATGCTCCCCATTCCTTTGATTTAAATGGGGTTTATAGATTTTAGGCAAGTACTTTAGCAAAAATGATCTTATAATTTCAAGCACACACACATACCATGAAGCAAGTTTTGCACTGGAAATCTATCCAAAGAAGAGGAACCTTCAACAAATAAAGAAGTCAATGATATACACTTGTCAGTGCCAGGCCAAGGCATCACTTCTTATCTGGCACCAGGTTTTGACTGAAGTTTTTGAACCAGCTATGACGTAACCTTCAGAGCAGAAGAGGAGCATAAGAGCTTTAAATGGCTTCCCTTTCTAAAAGGGGAATGGCCTTTGGCAGTGTTTCTTGAAAATCATGTCATTAAGACTCGTAGTATAATAGAGTCAGGAGAACATCTAAACTTAAGCTAGCCTGTACATCTGTAAACAATGGCTGGGACACAGATCCATAAATTATCTGTTAAATTGTCCACAGAATAAAGTGAGCAACTCAAGCAAAAGACATTTCAAAGTATTAAAGTAATTGCCAAACAGAAAAAAGCAAAGTATACATTAAAAGCAAGTCACACCAGCAGACCCAGCAAGTAATTTGCTTAACAGTAACATGGAGGCATCTTGGTGAAGGAAAACCAAAGACAATTATTTCTGTTTCTAAAACGAGTACCTACCATAGTCTATACCTCCCCAAAACTGAAAAAAATACAAAAGCAAAGATAATGAAAACATACTTATGCATGTAATGATGGAATAAACGAAAAATATACTATGAAAAATATCCTATGAAAAATGCTGTTAGCTGCTCCTGACAAGTCTCATATTGCTTTTCACAGGCAAGAAAAGAATTATCCTACTTATAAACCACAGGATCAAAAGCTATTAATTGTTTGTACCTCTTTGAGGAAAATGTTTAACTTTATTTTCATACAATAATCACAGCTGCTTGATCTGGTTCCTTACCCAACGATCATATTGTGTGTGTACACACACCAGTGCTGGAACTGCTGTCTCAAATTCATTCAAATTTGTATTAGAAAGTGATCAAAATGAGACAAGGAGACTACAGGCTCATTTGGGACTAAATTACAGCTTCAACATTTTCTTGGATAGAACAATTACCTAGCTGACAACTCTGCAGATGATGGTTTTATGTTATAATAGCATATCAATAATTTGCCATAATCTCAAAGAAACCAAGATATTTGCTCTTGGTAACAGAGAATAAAGAAGTGGCACATCAGCAGTCTTAATTACCTAAGTGCCTTGACAGTAACACAGAGGTGAAAAAGCTCTCATTTTTTACTTCCACTACTAATCACCATATCGTTTAAGGGATTTTTTAAACTGTTTTAAAGAGTTGATAAAGCTTGGGCTAACGAGTGTGGACTACAGAACAAAAATGGATGAGAAAAAGAGTTCTGGGAAGCTTCTTACATATTTAAAGATATCTAGGACTAGAATGACAATTTACACTTAGTAATGAATACCTTTCAAACAGGTTAACAAGCAGTAATTCCTCTAGTAAGCACTCTATTACACACGGGAAAGGTTGCAGTTGCCATTAGACCACTGTAGCATGACTCTCTTAAGGTGAGCCACCCAATAGCTTGAAAATCACTTCAGTATAACACAAATAATTAGCTAGGGACAGAAAAAGTCATCTTCAAGAAAGACTGTCAAACTCTGAATATGCAAACAGAGATAAACTGATCTTGAGAAGACTTCTTACCCAATTGATTCTTCATCATTAGAGCTGTGTCTGTTGCAATCCTTCTGCCTTTTTCCTTTTGTAGAACGCTTTCTGTTGTTGGCACTTAATCTCCACTGAAACAAAACAAATAAAATTGGCAGATTTCAACAAACCCGAATATGTCATAATGGATAATGCACTGGAAAAATGGGACACTGAAACAATGCAGCTGACCAAGTATATCAAAGTTATGAAGAGCATATACAGCAATTTTGCAAAAAAATTTATTTTCTTGATTTAAAGAATCCACATATCACCTGATCTTGAATAGAACTTTTTTCTTCTAAAGAAATATTCAGGGCAATTCAATTGTTTCCCAGTTTCAAGGGGGACTATACCAAACATGCAATGTTAAATATTAGGCCTGTTCCACATAATCACATATACAAAAGATGCAGAAAGTAGAAGCTAACTCTTGTGTATTTTTGCAAATTTTACAGGTTACAATATAGATAGAAAGGATATAAAATTCTGAGAAGGAAAAACAATTTGAAGGTTTGGTACTTAGGTGGCAAACCCCAGAACAGCAAGACTTCATTTTTTCCAAATTCTCTTACCTTACCAGAAAGCACTTATATTTTCAAATTAAATAGATGAAGCCCCATCACAACAGTTCTTGCTGCAATTCCAGAAACCTCCAGCCCTCCAATCCTTCTCCTAATCTTCCTCATTTCTTAAAATTCAAAATATGATAAACCCAAGCGATGCTTGAAAATTATGCCACTCGGGCTTAAAGCAAACTTATCTTCATTTTTGACTAGGTGTGTTTTGAAAGGGCATCTGGAAAGTTCATGTCCATGCATATTCTACAAACTTTAGTGAAGTCTGAAAGGCATATCCCAAATCAAACTTTTTGCTACCATAGGGACTAACTCTAATGCAAAATAAGCCCATTATTAAAGCTGGCAGCAAGAAGTTGACTGGACGGGACTCTTCCCTCTTCCTACCTTCAAACGTCATCCAGTTCACCTCATACCACTGGAGTGATCTACACGTCCAAGTGACTGAAAACTGCGCAAAGTTTCACAAACAACATGGTGCAAACTCTGACAACTCAAAATCAACTTTTTTTTAAGTAGAACATAAAAACCAGTCAGTGTTTAAAGCATTTTAAATCCCTCAATACATGGAAAAGTTTGAAATATATAGACATAGGTAGGAAAAATAAGAAATGGAAAATTAGACAACATCCAGGAAGTAACAAGGAAATAAACTAATTTTCAACTCACCCATTCAAACCATTATTTTTATAGAGGCAGACAGAAATACAAGAACTCCATGCAAGTGCTGTCTGAATCTGCCCAAGAGGTACTGCTTGTACCCACAAGAGACATCACCTCCTATTTCAAAACCTGACTGCAACTGGATGCTCTGCTCACTGAAAGCATTACCAGTATAGAACATAACCCCACAGTGAGTCTCTATTGTAGCATTCTCAAATGACTTGGCCTACCAAGAGACCTGGGTCACATTACCACTGCTACTCCAAGTCCAAAAAAATTCCTACCTTCCCTCACTAAACCTTTCAACCTCCTCTGAGAGGTAGAAGGTCTGTTTGTCCAGGCCCATGATTCTGAAAGCACTGCAACAAACTCTGGATGCTAAGCTGAAGGAAGCAAGAGTAGCAAAATATGTTTCCAACACTTGACATTTGAAATGCTTACTAAATTTGTAACAGATTTTATGGAGGCTAATATTGTTTCTCTATGTGACTGAGATGATCCAGACACTCAGTTATGATAAATGCCATAAGACTCTTACAGTCTTTTGGTCTTAATACAGTTATTTCTGTATTAGCACCTAAAATTTTGTAAAGAGTCATACAGTACTTCATATATTCTCTTAAAAGCTTAAGCTCTTGGATAACCAAAAACTCAATGTGAAGTGTATTTCCATATAACAAAGTTTGGTAAGTGATCTTAATATAAACTAGAAGTTCAGCAGGACTTTTAGTAGAAGACAATCAACTAAAAAAAAATTAAATATCATATTTACCTTTAAGTTAATGATTTTCAAGATAGTTTCAAACTACACCTGAAGAGAAACTGCTTTTCAATGATTTAGGCTGGAAACATGGCACTAAGACTCCCATACCTGTAAATGTATGCTTGCAAACAGATTTCAGACTTACACACTTGTCTCTCTCCAGACAATCTGGATTAGTTATTGGTCACAAGGCAGCACTTGGTGTTGAAAAATCCAGCCTCCAAAACCAAACTAAAAACCTCATGTAACACTCTCCTACACACTTTACACTCTGAAGAACTTCTCTTTACCTCTTTTAAAGGGTAGTCACAATGGTGGGAGCCTGGGAGCCTTGCCAAAGGGGACTGAACTTGAACATCCTCTGACTTGGTGTTTGTTTTCTTCTTTGGTATACGAAACTGAAAATAGATGATGTTACACATGGTAAAACTAAATTATCCACTGGTTCCACGAGCTGACATACAGCCATGTACAGGGTTGTCTTAACTGGGCAAAATAAAGTTGTAAGGGAAGCCCTGACTTGTGACTTTACTTGAAATGCATTCCTCATTAATGCTTGATCCCAAATCATGTGTCATACCACATGATGAGCTAGGTTTAACACATGAACCATCTGAAAAAGCTCTATTTAATTAAATTTACATCTTCAAACATGACAAAAAGGTGACAACTAATCCACCAGCACCATTTTCTTACTTCATTCTGATTTGTCTACATTCTAGTTTAACTGTCTCAGCTGAGAGAATGATAAAGAGAAAATGAAACAGCTGAATGTCATGACCAGGTTTGCTTTCTCAACAGAAAAAAATCAGGATGAAGAACAATTACATCTTATAATAGTACATGTATTTTGGTGTCAAAATACAGCAAACAGACTTCAGCATCAAACAGAATTTAATGTACTCAAAATGGTATCAGCTATTGTCATTGCCAACTCCCACAGAAATGGAGCCAGCATTTTGAAAGTAATTATTGAAAGAGAAAGCAGTCAGTAATCCACAGGAATTCACCAGTTCAGAGAAAAAGATATGTAGTAAAGAAGGTATGTTCATTGAAAACCAAACCAAAACCAATCAAGCTAAATTTGTACTAGCTCATCAAGACAAGGAAATGGGACGATATTTCCTATCAGTTAGATAAACCAGTTAAAATAATATCAACTGAAAGAATAAAAGTGCAAGCATTGCTCCAGGCATTTTGAGAAGCAAACTCTGACATTGCAATGCAGATGAGAATCAGAGAGGAATGCAACATTTACACCTCTCAGACAACTGAGTCTAGCTTAGGCAGGAAAAAACTGAAGCTACTCCATAAGATGGACACTGTAAAGCATCATATGAACTTGACTTGCAAGCCACTAGATGCCTTGCATTGTAACATGAAGTTACAAGCAAGGATTCCAGAACAGTGACACTAACAACTTAATTATTAGCACCTTAACTGCATTCATTAGCTCAGCAGCTAGTCCTTCAGACAGACCATAATGAAACATGCTGCACCATAATGATATAATACTTCAGTCCTTGAGTCTGAATCATGAGTGCTTTTACTCCTTCTCTACACTTCTTTGAAATGAAAGATTAAAGTTTTTTGTAATTAGACCCAAGTTTCTATACAGTATCTCAGGCTGCCTTTGCTGGTCAAAGACTGTGACAAATACTCTTTTAATAACATATTGCTCAAACTCTAAAGGATACAAATGTCACACACAGGCAACAACTTCTCATACAAGTATCTTCCTGCAGGAGGATGGGACAACACGATGTGCACCTCAGGGAGATCTAACTGTTGGGTGAGAACCATTTGTAAATATTACTATTGAATATCACTGTCATTGTCTGTCTATAGCTGTATCTTGTATATATATGTGTATGATGTATGTGTTTATAGAATTAGAATGTGTATCAGATATGGTAGTAAGCTGACGATATGGGGATAAGGGGTGGAATGTCTTGGGGTGACTGTGTGATGCCTATATCCCCAAATAGTCTGTTCTGTTGGTGTTGAATATTAAATTCTGCAACTTTAAGACTGGTTCCAGGAGTGAAAGGGCGGGGGGGGGAAGAAGAAGTGCAGAGTTTGTTGTCAGAGACTGCACTGGCTCCCCCACATTCCTGCACTCGGACTGTGTTGTCTGCAGTGGACAGTGACAGCTCTCCTTTGCTCTTGGTTAGTTTTTTGGCTAGCTGAGGCAGAGAAGACCCCTGGATCGTTTTTTTTCCTTTTTCTGTTTTCCTGGAACTGTTTGAACCTGCTCTGGACTGAAAACCCAGAAGAGCACCGGGAGCTCACACCTGTGGCCCACCGGGCCTGGCCTGGGCCTGGGCATTCCCCAGCACAGGAGGGACTGAGAACAGACTGAGTGAGCCAGGCAGTCACGGAGAGAACTCTTCTAAATCTGCCATCTCTTCGGAACAGCGAGAGGTTTTGCTGTTTGATATTGTTCATTGTTGTGCTGGGAGGTGTGTTGCCTGTTGAATAAACAGTTTTGGTTTGTTTTTTTTTTTCCACTTCTCTCCAATTTTGCTCTTTTTTTTTCCCAGAGGGACCTTATTCAGAGGTTTCCTCCCAAATTTGTCCTAAACCAGGACACTTCCTTTCCTTTTCAATCAACATGGAAGGATTGAAACAAGACATTTTCTTATTCAGGAACTTCTACAAGTAGATTGTTTCAAATTTGTTTAGTTGGTTTTATTTTAGAAGCGGCCTATAAGCACATTTATCAGTCAGAATGCATGTTTCTGATCTGCACTGTAATGGCTGGGAACAGATTTCATACTTCAGACCTCCACCTGCTGCCTGACTAGCAGCTTCTGTTATGAAATTCCAAAGAACACATAGTTATCTAGAATTTTTACATTTAAAATTAAAGAGGTCCTGATAACCTCTGTAATGACATAACAGACAACATTAAGTACAGATAAAGTCAGACTCAGTATAAAGAAGAGACCACTGACAGAAAGGGATAAAAAGCACAAGATACATTAATCAGCAACATTTCCAGCTCACCACACAGCATCTTCCCAATGCTTGCGTTCATTAAGAAGATGTTGGTTTACAGTGTCCACAAGTAACTTACAGAACAAGCACAAAGTCAACAGGGAGAGAGGTCTGAATCTATGCTAAAGACAAGGTATGCAGTTGCCTCAGCTTTTCCCAAATAAAAAGTGACTAGCTCTACACATATATGTGCATACGCACTTGGCAGACTCATCTAAATCAGCAATGCTTTCATGAAGGTTCCCACCTGTAGAAGCAAGGGCCAGAGAAGGTGCAACAGCTGCAAACAGCTTATTTCTAAACCACTAGATCACCCAGACCTTACCCAATCACACCAGTTCCTATCTCTACCATTTGTTCTCAGCAGTACTCCCACTGCTAGAAACTACTTCTAATAATGATACTTTAGGAAAAAATATACACCAGCATAAGCCTCTCAGTTCATCTCTGCAGATAACTTTTACACAATTTTGCAGTTGTTCTACTTACTTCAAATTACTCAAAAATTTTAGGTGTTAGCCTAGGTCTTAAAATAACTTGGAAAACACCCTGTTTACGTGTAAAATGCTAAGCCTATAACGTATTAATAGATGTACAACAATAGACATGAGTATTGACTGCTACCATGATGAACAGTTTCCCAAGAAAGCATGTTGCAACAAAGCAAGAGTCAGATGAGTGAAGAACGAATTTTGTCAAGCAAACACATCAGAACACTCTAGGATACCCATAGGCTCTAAGTAAAATGCTGAAAATTTCAGGAACACTTACACTGACGTGACTTGAAGATGAGGTTCTTCCTGACATGGTTTTCTCTACTGGAAAGAAAAAATAATAATTTAACAATTTCTGGTTAACTGATTAAGAGGGAAATAGAACCACAGTAGCAGACATTAAGAAAGAACAAACGGACAAGAAAATATTTTTTTAGCAAACTAGAACAAGGAAAACACATTTGTAAGATGGCTTGGGTTGGATGGGGATTTAAAGGATTTTATAGTCCAGCCCTCCTGTCAGGGGCAGGGACATCTTTCAACTGATAAGGTTATTCAAAGCCTATTCAACTTGACCTCAAACACTCCCAGGGATGGGGCATCTACAACTTCTCTGGGCAACCGGTTCCAGTCTCACCATCTTCATAGTAAGAAATATTTCTTCCTCATGTTCAATCTACACCTACACTCTTTCAATTTATGACCATCCCCTCTTATCCTGTCACTGCAGGTCTTGGCAAAAAGTAATACAAGACAGACCTGGGCAGGGCTCTGGATTGTCAGCATAGACAGAATCGTTAATGAAATTGTCCTAGAATTTATGCTTAGCTAAGGCATTTACTGATTAACTCCTTGCTGCAAGCACACAACTAATAAGCAATTTACACTTGGACTATAGAGTGAAAAGGAGTAAAGAGGACATCTGTACCACTGCAAGGGCTCCAAGAATAACTAACACCCATAGACTCCTATTAAATCTATAAACTCCATCATCGGAAGAACACAGCCTCAGAGCTTCCAGCATTTATACATATTCTATATGACTCTGGCATAAGACCTTCAGAGATTACAGCTGGTTTGGAGTCTCTCAAGAAGCCAAGTTTGGGGACTTTTACTTATCTCAGTGGGGTTTTTTTAACTTAGAGCCACAGTCCCCCGGGGCGGGGAATAGACCGATAAAGAGCAGCCAAAGTATTGCCTGTTCCGACGAGGAAGAGCCGACAAAGGGGGCCCGCCTGACAGCTCGGGGGAGCAACCACCACCCAGGAGCGGCAGCGCCCGGGCTGTCACCGCACAGCCCGGCCCTGGCACAGCGCTGCCCGCCGCAGAGCCCCCGGCTCCGCGGCCCCGGCTCCTCCCGCTAGGAGGGGAACAGTTTCCCTCTGACAAACCCGCGAATCCCGAGGGCCTGAGACAGCAATTCCACCTTTCCACACTCTCTCCTCAGCCTTCTCCCAGAGACGCGTAACGCCGTCACCAGTCCTCACTCCGTCCCTCAGCGCTCCTGTTCAACCACCCTGCCGGCTCCGCTCGTTCGCGGCAGACACCGCGGCCGCCCCACGGGACAGCGGCCACACGGCTCCCCCCGAGACGCTGCCGGCCCTCCGACGGGGCAGAAGAAGAAAGGCCGGGCTGCAGCCGGGTGGGAGCGAACAGCCCCGGCAACAGCACACAGCACTCACCGCCACCGCCGGAGCTGTTTACCGGGCCGGCCCCGCCTGGGCAGCTTCCCCGCGTACTTCCGGGCCGGGCACCGCCCCGCCCGCCGTGCCGGAGTCACCGCCCGCCCGCGTCCCGGGCGCCGCGCCTCAGGCGTTCCGAGCTGCAGCTCGCTCGGGATGGGCTCGAGGCTGACCCGCTAAAAGCCAGTAAAGAACCGAGAAACCCGCGTTAATTTTAAAGAAGAAATAGCGAAGCCGACCCAGGTTTAAGTAGTACATTGCTAATGGCGTTTCCCTCAGCTGGCAGCCAGACCCCGCTAGGTTAATTCCCGTAACGGGGGGGGATGCACAGCCTCATAACCCCGGCTAGCAGCGGTTTGCAGCTGAAGTCCTCCTGCATCCAAGGAGACACAAAGATTTGTCGGCTGGGGCTTTTTTTGCTTTGTGTTTTTTTTAGGGCAGCTTCAGAATTGTAAGTTTTGTGTGGAACTTTCTGTTTTGTTCTTGGTAGTGGGAATTAAAATGGGTGTGGACAAACGTTTAGTTTCATACTCGAAGTTTAGCTTGAACTTACTGTCAGGTGTGAATTACACACGAACGGATCGTTTGTAACTTCGAAATGCCTGGAGTGCTTTAGATGGCCACAAACTACCAGCTGCTGATAGGTTTTTTCGATACACGCCCCCGTACGTAAAGTAATGAAAACTGAAACCATGGTTGGGTTTATTTTTTTCATGCAGAGGACTTGTCTACACTCCCAGAGTGAAAAAGATTTCCATCTATGATGATGACAGATTTTACAGGAGAGCATACGGTAATATTGGGCTTTACTAGAATAAGGTGGTTTTAAATGGAAAACAAAGTAACTTTTAGGGATTTTATATAGTACTTATACTACAGTAGTGTTTAGAATATGCCAAATGCTGCAACAAGCACTAGCTGAATTTACATCTGAAGCATGTTAGAATCTGAATAGAAAAGTGGGAGGAAAGGGAAGGGGGATTATTTTTCCCCTAAAAGCAAATTTTTAAAATTAAGGTAGCAATTATAAAAGGCTGCTAGTATATGCAACCTTGAATATTGCATTTATATATAGACAATGAAGTATAAACAGCTATCAATGCTGATTTAGAATGCAGAATTATAACAAAGAAGTACATGCATTATGCAGTTGTATCTAGAACAATCTGTAATTGCTACTTTTTAATTCTATAATTAATTGTATTGCTACAATAAAATCAGTCCTCTCGTAAGTATGTAATTCTAAGGTGCTATTTAAGTAAACTCATAAGTGATATTATTAATTGCCTCAAAAGTTTTCATTTTGCATTTTGAAGGCAATTTTTCTTGAAGGAAAGTTATATGTGCACCTTGTGTAAAACTGTGCTTGTTTCTGCCTCCTGAAATCTTCAGCAACCCTTCACAATGCTTTGCAAAGCCGATGTTCAGGGTTTAATTTGAAATCACATATCCTTGGTTTGGAACTGAAAAGGCAATGGTGCTTGTTAGTAGCTGAAGTAAGAGTATGCTGGGAAATTAGTCTCTCCAATCTTTTAGAGGTGAGGGGAGAAAGGGACCGAGAGATGCTCCCCAGCATATCACTCTGAGGAAACTGCATCTACCTCTTCCTAATCCTTACAGAAAGCTGTGCCTTTCTTCATACACATCTTTCCTTAAAATATGTCCATTTTTCTCCCACTTCGGCTTATGGGAACAACAACTGGAATGTGGGTAGCTTCTTTCCTATTAAGTATTGTCTCTTTTGCATTAATTGCCCATATTTCAGTAGTATAGCAAACAGACTGTTTTCCTATCTTCTTTTTGTCTTTCGTGCCTTCCTGCAGAATGAAAAAATCATAGATGAAGGGGTCCCCTTGCATTTTCTTTGTGCTGTTTCCATTTCAAGAGACAGGCAAGACAGTAATAAATGACTTATATATCATAGCATATGATATATATGTGTACTTTTTCTACATGTACTGATTATATGAGATAAAAAAGGAGAAAGTATCACTTTCTAGCCTGCTCCCTATTACTTAGAAGATGGGAATGACCTTGAAGAGAGGACTTAGTAACACTAGCCCAGTAGAAGATTACTTAAAAGGAAACTACATATGGTGTTGCTATGTTGAAAAGCAAAAATGTGTTTGTTTAGTTCTTGTTTTGTTTGTTTTTTTTTAAATTTGGGAGTGTAAGAAATAATTTTAAATCTGCTAAGCACCTTACCTCAAGGAAACTTGCATTCCTTGAAAGAGTTGGGTTCCAGCTCAAGTCGCATGAAAATAGTCATCACTTTTTGTCCTAGTAATTGGCTTCATCAGATGATATAGCGATTTTTTAACATAGAATGTAATTTACTGTGTTCTATAAAACTTATTTTAGTTCGGTAAGAAAAAACTAAAGATATATAGTCTAACTTGCCAAATATTACTTGATTCAGACCATTTACAGAAAAAAAAAATACTATATTAGTACTAAACTCCTGTAAAAATAGGTTTCTGACCATACCAAATGTTACACCCTGTTTGCTATTCTACAGCCAGTGACAGTCAATAGTAGACTGAAGAGTTACTAGGAAAATAGAAGGTTCTGCTAAGATTAATTTTTCAGCTGCACCAAAATCACTTCTTGGTATAATTCATATCAAGTCATTAGAGATAATCTGAAATTGGAGACCTCAGTCCAACCGCATGATAGTTTGTTGCTTGGACTTTTTTTTTCTCCTGCTCCTGGATCACAGTGGCTAGTTTATTCTGTCATCTATTCCTGTATTTCTATGTGGCACGTGCTTGCAAGGATGAATGACAAACTAGAGTGATTAACAGAAAGCAAATGTATACATATATAATCTGTTCTAGTGCAGTTGGAGAGTATGCTGGTACACAAACAATGGGAAGGTTGAAGTCGGTAGTAAGTGCCTTATTTTCTTTAAAAACTTCGGAACCAGTACAACACTTGGATTATTTCCAGCTGCCAAGGCCTGTATTTTAATGGCAGCCTTGAAACTCAGTGGAGTTCCAAGATCATGGCTAGGAGACAGCACAATAAAAATTGTTCAAGTGAACAATGAACCATGTACATGTGCCTCCTTCTTAAAGCCTTTAATTCAAACTACCTTAAACAGATCTCTAAGTAAACATGCTAGCTTAAAAATGTTTAACTACCAAACTGAAATAATAAAGGCAGAGGAGTTACTGCTGTTTGAACTTCGTAACTGACATCTCTAAGAGACTTTAGAAGCAGCTAGATCACCATGAAATACTCTGGATCAACAAGTATATTATTTGTAACAGCTTTTAAATCTGAATTCTAGTGCAGTGGAGGGGATGGGTAGACAAGTGTTGTGTGGAGATCTATCACTACTTTGACATAATAGTCTTCTTAATTTGTAGTGGTTACGAATACAGCAAGAACTCAGTTTGAGGAAACTAACAGAGGGTTCAGAGTATCAAGAGGAACTAAAATATGACTTCAATATAAAAGGGGAACTGAGGCACCTGGATACAGATGAGTCCTTTGTTTTCAATTACTGCAAGAATGGACATGAGCAGAATCATAAACGCTACAAAGTTCTGGGACATTTTATTACCCAGTATGTTTATGAGCTCCTGGAAAGAGTCTGCATGCTGCAGAAGGTTTATATTCCTACTGATGCTACAGAGGATGAACCAAGAAGTTTCTTTTTCATGAGTAAGAATGCACTAACAAGTTCCTCTAGCCTTATTATCCTTCTTCAAGACCGTGGAGTTTTTTGTGCTGGACAGTGGGGGCGAAGAGCAATTGTTGGTGAGGGCCTGAGACATGGAACACAAATACCATTCATCAAAATGGCCCTGCAAAGCCACTGGGAAGTGATTGTACTGAACCCCAATGACAACTTCACTGATCTGAACTCTGAAAAGGAGAGATTTTCTGCCAGGGAAGAAGCATCTACTTTTACACAGTCTGTCTGGGGGTTCCCCAAGAGGGGCAGCAGCAGCCCTGAGGAGCATACTGTGTATGTATGGGATCATTTCATTGCAAAGAGTGCAGCCAGGAACGTGGCCTTCATTGCCCATGGCTATGGTGGGTTGGTATTTGTTGATCTGCTGGTGCAGAGGAAATGTGAGGTGATGAATAAAGTGTACTCTGTGGCATTCATCGACTCCACACACAACATGCAGCACCAGAGCAGACATGATCCAGAAATACAGGAATGGATACACAAAAACTGCCGGGAATGGGTGTCAAACAGTAAACCCCTAAATAAAACTGTGGGCTTTCTCATGAGAGTAAGTTGTCCTACTTTCTCTGCTGGAACAGAAAAGTATGGTTTAGCACCCTCTTGCTGCTTACAACCCATATTTAAGTACCTGAAGAGCAAGCTGAAAGTCAAGATCACAACAGCCTCAAGGAATTCACCTGTTGCAACCAGAAGCAGCACAAGTAAGAAGAGAGGCAATAAATAAAGCTACACTGGTTTGTTCTTGATAGTGGTCTCTTCCTTTTGTAACTGCCTCTGCACCTTTCCGTCACCTAAGCACCTTCATCTCACTGTGGAGAAATTCACAGTTCTAAGTTTGAAACTAGTTTGTTTGGTTTTGAGAAGAAAAACACAGAAGTTAACTATTAGGAAAGAAATGTGTTGGTGAAAGCCTTAAGCCACAACCTTTTGGCTAGCTGTGAAATTTAAAGTTGAATTAAAGGTGTTAAGATATAGTAACTTATCTATTGTTTTCTGTAATAAACATTCTATAATTATGGCTTTATAATCAGACTATCAGGAAATTTTTTTTTTTAGTGCCTAGCTTCATTAAAAGACCAAATCTGGAATAGCAAAGGTATGTAAACAATCTGTTTTCCCCTTTCTATGTACCATGTATTGTTTAAAATCTTTCAAGAGCTGGAAAATCCACCTTCCTCCTTGAAACATTTACTGTTAAGCTGAACAATACTTCAGGGAAGTACATATTGCTACCTCCCCTCCAGTCAGAGTTGGTGTGCCCCAAATATGACACACAGAGATAAAATAATTTCCAATTTAAAGCCAACTAAGCCAGTGAGAATACTGGACATGAGCTGCTGTAGAGACAATAGTCTAGCAACCTGCAGTTACCAAACTGATGCAAAAGGACTGACATTGCTGTTTCCTCGCAGCTGTTTAACTTCAGACAGAGGTGGGAAACACAGTTTTTAAATTTACATACTCAAGGCTTACAATGTGTACAAGCAGAACCTCAAAATAATCTTTAAAGTGAATGTAAGCAAAAGAGTTATTCTTAATTTCCAGTTCAAGCCCATGAGAATGTCTTGGTTTGAAAGAGGTGTCTGCTAAGGAAGGCAGGAGCCTCCCTCAAAATGTAAATCTCCTCCCTTCAAATTATTATAATTTTGAAATTAAGGAGCTCTCAGGCAAAGATATGGGAATAGGAATAACAGTTCTTTACTAGGAAAATTAAAATAAAAATACAGTAATACAAAAAAAGCAAAATGCTGACAGAGTCAGAATACAACCTGACACCCCATCAGTCAGGGTGTTGGTAGCAGTCCCATTAAATGGTGACTGCAGTCCTCCTGGAATGACAGATGTGGTTCTGTTGAAGCAGTGGTCCTGTAGAAGGGTGTCGTTTTCCTCCAAAGGTCCAGTGATGATGTAGAAGGGCCTGGTTTTCCTCTGGAATCCAGTGGAAAAAGGCTGCTCTGATGTTCCAAATCTCAGATTTTATATAGGTAGGAAATGCTTGGCTCCTCCCCTTGGGTGGGGCATCTCACAATGGGATGATGTAATTTTATCAGTCATGGGACTCAATGCCCCATTAACAGAAGATACCTCCCTGGAGGGAGGATGGGTTGTGGAAAAGATAAAGAACACTGCTACACCTGGTTTTAACAGATGGTGATAGAATACATACTTCTGGTTACATCCTGCATTGCAGCCCAAGACAGGGAATCAAAAGTGTTCAATGGCCACGAAAAAGGATCCTCTGAAGGATGACAAAACTTTCTCCTATAAGTGTAGAACATTCCAATCTCTGTTAAAAAAGCTGTTGAACAGTAAGAATGGGTATCAGAGAGAAAAGACCATCAACTTGGCTTTGTGTTTATATCCATTTTAGATTTCAGTCATCACCTCTCACAGAAGAAACTTCTGTCCTGTTACGCAGCAATGGATAAAAAGTAAAATTCTATTGGAAAGGTCCATTCAGTTGAATGCTCTTGAGAGCAAGCACAGCTTTTTTTATTAATGTCAGGTTTACTGTTATTACATCTGAATGAAAATGGTATTAAACAGACAACAGAGTGCCTCAGTTCCCTGAAGAAAGTTGCACTGGAGATGCCATAGCTGAGGATGCACACAGCCTGCCTGTTTTGTAAGGGCTAGTCAGCACACAAAGAACAGTCACTTGTGTGAAGTCTGTGCATGAACATGCAGCTTTATTTACAACAGAAGCATGAGGTGACAGAGTATCTGTCTTCAGAAGGAGACCAATATGATCCTTCAAGATAAATGCTCAAACTGTCCACAATGCCAGAGGAGGCGAAAAGTGCTCAAAGGAAAAAGGGATCTACAACATCATCCATTTGTGTAATTCTTATCTTAGGTCAACCCATTAAATTCCTTGGTAGAGAAGGTCGTATTTAGGAATGTTGTTGGGATCAATTGGACTTCTCACAATGAGCTTTCCCCGCATTGCTCCTCGGTAGATCACTTCAATCAGATCTATAAAGTCTTGCTTTGTTTTGAAACTTCCTACAAATTTAGTGTGATCTGGAGACCTAAATATAAGCAAAACACAAAGGTAGAATTTTAATGTTAAAATATTCAGAGAAAAACTACCTAAAAATGTGAAAAGATGCCCAAATGAGATAAGGAGTTCTGATCTGGTCATTCTAAAAGAATTAACTAACTTTGTAATAATGTAACCAAGTCAGAAATATGCTGTGACCTCCAAAGGTCAAACAGATGTAGCGTCATGTCTAAGATTTTAACCATTTCTTACTATTTTTTGCAGAGTCAAACGTATTTCACCTACTTATTACATCAGAGCATATTTCAAATTACTTACCTATTTTACATCCTTCTGGCTTCCCACAGAATTCTCAATGCAGATGTAGGTAACAACATTATAGTTTTCAAATGTTACCTTCCCCAGATATGGTAACATAGGAAAAGACTGATAATTCTTACAGACATAATAGACAATGGTAGGATGACTTACCCATAATCAACCTTCATATGTTGCCCGTTGAAGAAAAACACAGTAGATGGAATATAACTGATGTCAAAATACTGGGTGTACACTGGGACGTTGTTCACATCCACCAGATAAATGACTGCCATTTTACTTAAGTCATGAGCTGTTTTTGCAAGCTGGAAAGAGTGAGAAAGGCAGGTGGAAATTAGACTGAGACATGAGGAAAAGAGAATGGCAAGCTTTATAAAGCCTGTTTCTCTTATCTGTTACCAGCTTAAGCAGGTATAGAATACCATATCTTGTCAACCTCAAGCACTTTGTTCAGCCACTACGATAGTAACACAGATGCTTACTTTTTAAACCTTTTTATATATATAATACAATTTCATTCTGTATTTGTCACGAAACTTTTAATGAGCATCTTAGCAAAAGCAACATTCCCTTCTGAGCACCAACTATACTTGTATGGTCCGTTAAAAAAAAAAAAAGGAAAAAATTAAAAAGAAGAAAAAATTGGTCTTACAATATCATCGAGCTGCAGACAAACAGCATCATTATCTCTTCCAAAACGGAGAACCAAGACCTTCTCAGCGACACTTTTTATTGCCTGATCCACTTCTCTCTTACAGGTCAGTTTGGGCAGCAGAAAACTCATCGCGACAGAACACGGGCTCCACTAAAATCCTTACCTGACAGGGAAAAAACAACAAAACAACGCACCATAAAACAACAGCAACTTGCAGGCCAAAAAGAAGCGAAACTTCTCTGTGCTATCAAATTTTTTAAAAGGAAACAAAGGAGGGGGAGGGGAGAGAAGAGAGCGAGAGAGGGAAGTGGAGAGGAAGACAGAGCCATCACAGATCAGCAGGCCGGGCTGACAAACCCCTCAGCCCCAGCCCATTGCCTCACGCCCCAGCCCAGCACGGCGGCGGGGCCAGACGCTGCTCCGCAGCAGGGACGGCGGCAGCACCCACCGGCAGCCCGCTCAGTGCCCCGGGGCTCGCCGGGAATGGAATACGGAAGAGTTCGGATCACCGCCCGCCGCAGCTCCCGCCGTGGGGGCGCAGACAGCCCGGAACGCTGGCGGTGCAGCCGCGGAGCGCCGGGGACACCCGAGGGACGCACGGCGGGCGCGCAGGCCCGCCCCACGCATGCGCAGCGGCTCCGCGAGGTGAGCGGCGGTGGAGGCGCGGTCGCGGCAGGCGGTGATCGCGGGGCGGCTCGGGGTCCGCCAGGCTCTGCCTCGACCGAGCCCTGGCGGGCGGCAGCGCAGCCGGAGATCGGGCAGGTGCTGCTCTCCGCCCGCGGCGCGGTGCCCCGGAGCCCCCGCTGCAGCGGGAGAAGCGGGCGCGCCGGTGTCCCCGGGAGGGATGGGGGGCACGGCGCGGGGCTGTGGGGTGTGAGCTGGCGCTCCGCGGTGCGGGTAAACTTGGGTTGCTTTAAAAGTTGTTAGGCTGCGTGCACGTGCAGTGCTGCTCCCTTGCAGCCGGCCTCATGAGTGAGTGTCCAGAGGGAGTGTGGATCCAGGCTCTGCCCCGTGTGCCAAGCCTTGGGACAAGAGGCAAGGGGCAGAAACTGATGCACGGAAGTTCCACCTGAACGTGAGGAAGAAATTCCTTACTCTGCAGCTGGCCGTGCACTGAACAGGTTGCCGAGAGAGGTTGTGGAATCTCCCTTAGTGGAGATATTCCAGACCTGTCTAGACACAGCCCTGTGCCATGTGCTCTGGGATGACCCTGCTTGAGCAAGGAGGTTGGACCAGATGATCCATTGTGGCCCCTTCTAATTTTACTCAGTCTGTGGTTCTAAGTGAGCAGCTGTGCTGGAGAAGTAAGGCAAGTTGTTCAGTCTCTGAAATATCAGTGAAGATCCTTTCTGTTATAGAGATGAGTTGCAGTGAAGTCATGCTAAAAAAGAAAAATACTTTCAGCACCACAAATCTAGGTTCTTCAAAAAGCCTTAGATTAATTCTTGCAGTAATGATGTTAGCGTGAATGGCACACTGGAAAGCAACTTGGCTTTATCAGAAGCTGTCATCAGGTACGCTAATGGTGTAAATCTGGTGTTCAGTATTGACTTAATTGGAGCTCCAGTACTATAAGTTAATTGAGGAACTGATCCCTTGATTTATCTATGCTTCTTTGATTATTACTTTTGCCAGTAGGTTTAATGCTTTAATGTAAAATTAGGGATACTTCTATTGTAATACTTACAGATTTTCACATTGTTAGGTTGCTGGGTTGTTCTTGTTTCTTTTATCTTAATAATAGTAGAACATGAGAGGTCAGCAACCAATTTGACAAATTACTGTATAGTCAAACACATGCCAGGTTATATAACTTTTCTGAAAAATAGTGTTCCTTCTGTGTCTATCTGAGCAGGTACATATTTACAAACAAGATATTAGATTAAACTTCTTGTTCTGTATATCACATTATTTTCAGTTTATTAGGAAGATTATGAATTTTGATTTAAAAGTTAGGAATTAATTCTAGTTTTGTCCAAATCATGTTTCTTCAAGCACTGAAACTTCACTGATGCTTAGTTCAGTAGTGTGCACAGACCAAGGAAATTATTAAATATTCTTGGTGTTTTTCTTTCTGCAGACCTTTTATACTTAAATACAAATGTGGATAAAATTAATGGGACTGGGCGGGGGGAGGTTTACATCCTGAGTTTTATGTGCCCTTGCCAACTTCACAGACAATTTAGCAAAAGTATGATCTTTTCCTGTACTAATTGTTATTCTTCCATCTCTTCTTTCTGTTTTCACAAGATAGACAACTTATACAAAAAAACTTCGGGTTTCCATGCAGCATTTCACTGACTTTGGTTGTGAAGGCTCATCATATGAAACAGATAACTTAAAGAGATCTTGGACAGTTCTTGAAGGTTGTTCAACTACATTTTGAATTGCAGTAAGTACAGCTGGTTTAAGCAGCTTCAATTTAGGAAGCAGTAGAAAATTCATAGAATTCACAGAGGGAGGAATTTCTAGCATCCTCCAAGAAGTAACCTGTTGTCTCTCAGTGTCACTAAGAATAAAAATCTGCATGTATTTTCTTTGTGATTTCTGACAAGTTTTTTTCACCTCTTATTGATGTTTTGCAGCTAAGTTTTGGAACACAGTACGTCTTAAGTATGCAGTCTGCTAATATGCTTCTGAGAAAAATTGTAGGAAGTTTTGTCCTTCCATTTGCTGCCCAACATGGGATGAAAAAGGATTTGTTTCCGCTTAGCAGAACTCTGAGTTTATCACTTTGTCTGAAGCAGGAGAAGTCATGTGAACCCTCAGAAAAACTAGATTTAGATGAGTGGAAGAAGGTAATGAAATCAGGGTTGCAAGAAGAGGTCAGTGAGACGGTTTCAGAGCCTAAGGAGCTTTCCAGTTTGGCTGCTGCACGTGAGACTTTGGAGATGTGGAGGCTAGCTGGCAGAGCAGTTCCAGAAAAAATTAGTGAAGACCAGCTAAAAACTTTTATGGAGTGTCCTTCTAAGTCAGCCAAAAAGAAGTATTTAAAATATTTGCATATCAAAGAACTTTACAAGAAAAATGACAAAAGAAAGATGGATGAGAAAAGAGAAAGGAGGCTAGAAGCACAAGATGGAGCTTCAAAAACAGATGAGACCAAAAAGAGTTCATTTGTATGTTTGTGGACCAGCACTATGGATAAAGCATACAATTGGAGGGCTGCTCAGTCCATGATCTTTGGCCAGCCTCTAGTGTTTGACATGTCTTATGAAAAAGAAATGTCTGTCCGAGAAGTCACAAATACAGTGAGACAGCTAGTACTGAGTGAAAGCTGCAATCGGAGATCTGTGGATCCATTCCACATCCACTTCTGTAACTTCAAAGATGACAGCCTCTATCAAAGGGAATTTATCAAGCATTATAGAGAGGCGTGGGACAAACTGCTTATCACAGTGACAGACCAGTGCTACACAGAAATCTTCCCAAAGGATAAGCTCATCTATCTGACAGCTGATTCTCCCAAAGTAATGAAAACATTTGATCACGATAAGATCTATATTGTTGGGTCAATGGTTGACAAGAGCATAAAAACAGGAGTCTCTTTAGCACGGGCAAAGCGCTTAGGACTGGAGACTGCAGCCCTTCCACTGGAGAAGTATTTGCTTTGGAGTACTGGTGCCAAAAATCTCACACTGGATCAAATGATGCATATTTTATTAACCTTGAAAGATACTGCTGACTGGAAGAAGGCTCTGGAATTTGTTCCGAAAAGGAAATACTGTGGCTTTGTAAACAAACCTGTAAAGGATCTGAAAAAAACGTTAGACCTGATCAACACACTTAAACTTGGAAAGGCACGGGAAGAAGTAGAAAAGAAATTTGCCAAAAACTACCCCAAGAAGTATAGACTAAAGCAAAAGTAGAGTGATGGGGAGGAGAATTAATGTTTTACATGCAAACTTTGTCCTTTAATGCTCCGGCTGAGCTCTGTTCAGCTCTTAGTCTTGGAACATGTTTTGTTGCTTACGTTTGAGATGACCATCATTAAGATTTGGGGTTTTTAAATTTAGTAGTCCAGCTGTTTAAATTTATTCACACATTATCGAAATTATGTAAGAGAAATGAGATAATCTATTGTAAAAAAAATAACTCTACACGAAGACTATCAGTCTGTTCAGTTGAACTGTGCTTGGCCAAGGGTGATCGTTACTGAATGCAAAGGTCTTCAGAGCTCACTGCTTTGGAGGCTATCTACAGTTTCATTCCAAAAGATCACTAGGATGAAGTAAAAGAGACCTCTCCCATTACTTCCTGAATCCTCTTGTGTGCAGATGAATTTACCTTTGATAGCTGAACTAAAATGGTTAAAACTTTGCATGAGTTTGGGGAACTGCACAGTTTATTTCTGGATGTTCTATCTGGCACAAATCAAGTCCCTGTTTGAAAGGAAGAAGGCAAATTTCTTGACTGCATTAAAAAAAAAAAATCTTGCCTACTTTAGTGTAAGACTTTTATCCCATAGTGCCTGTGTTTTCAGGCCATGTAATGTAGATTTCCCAAAGTGCTGGAACTTCTGAGATAGTAAACAGTCCTATTAGTAAATACTTAGAGGAGCAGAGAACCTTTTAATATTTCTCACTGCTCAAAATATATTGGTGTCTCTCTGGAAGTCTGTGTTCAGGCTGCAGAGCTGCCGTGGACAGCTAAATACAGGTCTGCTGTCTGTAGGACAAGGAGGGCTTTCTTCGTGGGTGATGCTTAAAGTCAGTGATGGCAGATGATGAGTTGGTGGTGGCTCAATCCCTGCTGACCTCTTCCTACATGCTGTTGCAAGGTGGAGGTTGGAAGGCAGAAGATTCCCTACCCCAATACTGCCCTTCATTGCCTGTTGTGAGGTGCAGGGGCCTCCAGGCATGGATCACCTCTGGTGCAGGGAAAGACCTGGTTCCTTTCAACTGTGTGTGGTTGGGAAGTACACAGAGCTTCACCCTAGGGTGGTCCAGGTGATGCTTGAGAGCTGCCTTCAGCTTCCTGGGAAGCCCTGTAGTGCAAGGACTGGCTGTGTGAGTGTGTGTGCCTCACTCAGGCAGACTCTGTTTCCTCAAAAGAGGAAGAGACAACAATGGAGCTACATGCTGCTGAGTGTCATAGAGCTGTGAAATGGTTTGGGCTGGAAGGGACCTCATCTAGTTCCAATCCCCTGCTATGGGCTGGGTACCATGTCCCTTCTGTCATTTGCTCATCCTCCAAACAAACAGCCTCTTCTGATCTGCAAGCTGGCTTGCACACTGGGGTGGGGGAAGGTGGTGTCACTGCTCACTTGAACTCGTCTTACGGAATCACAGGCTGGGTAGGTTAGAAAGGGCCACAATGGACCATCTGATCCAACCTCCCAAATCAAGCAGGGTCATCGCCGAGCACATGGCACAGGGTTGCGTCTGGATTGTTCTTGAGTACCTCCAGTGAGGGAGACATCACAACTTCTCTGGACAACCTGTTCAGTGCTTGGTGATTTGTACAGTAAAGAACTTCTTCCTCATGTTCAGGTGGAACTTCTGTGCATCAGTTTCTGCCCATTGCCTCTTGTCCCATTGCTTGGCACCACCGAGAAGAGCCTGGATCCTTCTTGACGCACCACCTCCACACACTTTAGATATTTACACATACCGAGGAGGCAATGGAGCAATCATATCTGTGAATCATGGAAGGTAATCGTTAAGCCATGCGCACTGAGGAAGGCGCAGCAGCGGACGTGGTTCCTTCGCACCTCCGTGACGCAGAATGTCAGGGTGCAATGCCGGGAGCGCCGGAGGGTGACTCTGATCCCCCCTGCTTTCCCCAGGGGAGGGGATGGAAGCCATTCCCACGTGTGCAGCGGCTCCGGACGAGCGTCAGAATGGCGCCGCTCGGCGCGCTCCCGCTCTCCCCGGCGCGCTCCCGGTGCTCCGAGCGCGCTCCCGTTGTCCCCGCTGCTCGCGCCGCGCCGCTCTCGCCGCGCCATCCCCGCGCGCCGCAGGGGCGGGGCCGGCCTGGCCGCGAGCGGGGCCTGGCGGGGCGGGCCCGAGCGGCGCGCGTGCGCAGCGCGTGAGGCGGTGGAGGAGGCGGGGGAAAATGGCGGACGGCAGAGCTGAGGGGGAGAAGGCGAAGCGGCCGCAGCCCGCAGGAGGTGAACATGTAGCGCCTCTCGCCGCGGAGCTGTGGGGTGGGAACGGGGTGCGGGCTGGTCCAGCGGGAGTGGGGGGGTGCAAGTATGCCTCACCCGGCCGTGCGGTGCCCGGCCCTGCGGGGAGAGTGGGTGGCCTGGGCCTGAGGGGGCTGCGCTGGAGGAGAGGCCGAGTCGGACCTGCTGCGCTCAGCTTTACAGGCGTTTTTGTGAAATACACCAGCTTCTCCTTGTCCATGCAAATGCGCTATTCCTCTCTCGTAAAAATACACGGAGTGCTTACGCCGTGTTCTGAGAGAAATGCGACTGTTGCTGTCTGCAAGGATGGAGACAGAGCCTTAAAATTAACTTTCAGCAGTTATGGTACCTTTTTTATAAATGGGTGCAGTGAATATTCTTTAATTGCTGTTTTAAGCATTTGGTTTTTCTTTTTGCTTGGAAACAATCAGTTTGCTGTTTGTCATATAGTATTTGTATTTTGACTGGACATTCCTGTCACTTCTGCACTATTTGGTTCGAAAATTTTAATTGTATGGTTTTTTTCTTCTTTCGTCTCTTAAAGTTGAGAGGACAGTGATTTTGCAACGATAAAGCTTTTCTTTCTTGATGTGTTTCTTTTTTTGTTTTTGTTGGGTTTTGGTGAGATTTTTTTTTTTGTTTCAGTATATCTGTAGGCAGAGGGCATTTTTAAGATCTGTTGAAAAATTAAGTCAGCCTTGTAAACCGATCAGGATAGCCTCCAACAGTGAATGGCATTTCTCATAATCGCTGACATTTGAACAGTGTTGATTTCAGGTAGTTCCTTGACTCTTGGTTCTCTGTTGGGCTTTGGTGGCTTTTTGGTGGTGGTATTGGATGGTTCTTTGCATTAGTAATAAAGTAACTGGACAGCATCAGTACATCAGTAATTCATACTGTCTTGGGTACTGTTCTGTGTGCTGAAACATGATCTGAATGAATACCTTTGCCCTAAGGAAGAATAATTGGTCCCTAAGGATTTTTGAAAGCAATTTCAAGTCTTTAGCTTTTGCCAAGGTAGTGGGGCTTATATTAAAGTTAACTTAATTGTGACTGGTTTTTTTGCCACGTGCCCCAGTGGTCGCACTCCCAGGGACAAGAGATCCTGAAATGCTGTGCAGCTGGCACTGTCACTCTTGTCACTTCAGCCACCTGGACAGTGGAAGTTGTCCACTGCTGTGGTTTGTTGATACATAGGAGTAAAACTTAGCTGTGAAGTAGGACAACTTTTTATGTCTGCAATCCATGGAAAGGGCATTAGCCAATGTAGATTGGAAATAGTACTGGTGCTTTCTGTAGGTGAAGGAAATAATAAAGCAGCCTTGATATCTTGGAATATATATATATATGGACTGGCATGGGAGATAGTAGAGACCTGTTTAATGGTTAATATATCTGCATTTCTGTTTCCTGCAGAAATCAAGCAGCACGAGGACTCTCTCCCCACCTTCCCCAATTGTCCTGTACCCCTTACAACTCTCTTATCAAGCGTTTCTTTCAGCAGTCTGGAGTTCATCCTTTGCCCAGCCCTGTAGAAATAATGCTCAGAATGCACTGGTGATAGGAACTAATTCTGAGAAAGATGCTCTTTAGGATTTGGTGAGAAGAAAGCAGATGTGGGTAGATTGTATTAGGCTTCACCTTGTGCTTAGCAGTATTTGAGAATTTGCACTTAAAAATAAGTAAGCTGTAAGAAGTAGTATAATAACCTTCAAGCTAGCACTAGTCTAGGAACCTGGATTGGTTCCCTGTGCCCTGAATTTTGGGCTGCTATGGATTTTGTTATGTGACGAAAAAGAAGACTTAGCCCTATGCTTCCAGCATTTTTAAGGCTAGTGAATCTTCTACTTACCCTTGAATCACAGTCTCTAGTGTACTGAGGCTGGACTTGGAACATTATGTTTAATTTGATTTCATTGACTAGCTGTGGATGCTATCATAGTCTCTGCAGACTGCTGTGTGGTAAATTGTGCTAAGACAGCTTCCAGCACCCAAGGTCACTTGTTTAAATTTTGTTTGTTTCTCTTTCCTCCTTTGTTTTTCATTTTTATATCTATATTTTCTGGATCAAATTTCTAGTTTAAAAATTTTAAAAAACAGTGAAACTGACTAAAGCTACAATTTCTTTTGTGATCTGCCATATTTCTGAAGGTGAATGATAAATCTGTTCTGGTTTCAATCACTTTTTATCTTGATACCTGGAAGGCTGGGTAGAAGTGGTATATTCTGCTATTTATGATTTGGGAAATAGCAGAGAAATATATATATAGATTGAGTCCCTAGTTTTTCTCTCTCCTGATGTTGTTTGCTTTTTTTTTTTTTTCCTTTCTCAGAGCTGCAATCTTGTTGACCCCCAGTTCAGACTTTCTTCTCTCCCATTGCTTCACCTTACGTAGTAGCTTTTGGCATTAGCAGTACAAAGAGCTTTATGCCCTGATGGTTGGAATTTGCTGTGCATGGAAGGTGCTGTTCTCCATTTGGTGTGATGAGGAACTTGTGCTAGCTCCAGTTGTTTTAAACTGCTACTGTGAGCACTTCCCTGTCCATTCCTTAATGTGTGTTGGTCTTTCCCCCCTTCTGCTACTGCAGTGGTTTGCTTATTGCAGCAGCAGGGAAGTGTCTTTGTGCTGAAGCATTTACTCTGTTCAGTATGAGTTTTCCAAGGACGCCTTTGTCTCTTGGTGTAGCTGAAGAAGCTGATTTTATAGGAATGGAAGTGTTACTTGAATGTTTTTTCGCTGTGGATCACTGTTCAGCTGCTATGTTTTCCATGACTATACAAAACCAGAAAAGATGAAATCTATATATATGTTTTTTAGTGCTGATTCCTTCCTCAAGCAGAGCTTGGCAGATTTATTACAGATGAGATGCGGACAAGCAGTGACTTGAAACATGATTGAGACAGCCGGCCTCACTGTAGTCACTCCCATGATTTTAGAGGTGTGCCAGACAAGCCTAGAGACTGCCATGGACATGGTTTTGTAGAAATTTAGTAGAATTAATTTTAACTTAGATTATCTACTCTAGATTTGGAATTGGGATTCCAATTGTGAAAGCTTATCTGTGGCAACTTAAAAACTTTAAGAGATTTAGTCATCTACATTTAATTTACTACATGAACTTTGACTTCCATACTAAATAAAGAGATGGTGCTTCAAGATTGTTTTCCTGGCTCATACAAGAAGTTCTTTACAAGTAGTGGAGTGCTTGCAGTTTCTTCTCCTCTTTGTGTTTTGCTATCCACTAAATATACATTGGTGGAAACTGCTGTCACTAAAAACATCTTACCTATTGCACCCAAAGTATAATGCTTTTTGAGGTTGCTGCTCCCTTCAATCTGCTCAGTAAAAGTAGCTCATCTTGGTAAGTTGTTTCGACTTCACCAGGACCTGAAGAAGAGGCAGAAAAACCTGTGAAAACTAAGACTGTTTCTTCCAGTAATGGAGGAGAAAGTTCGAGTCGCAGCGCAGAGAAACGGGCAGCTAATGAAGAAGCTGAAGACTTCACCACAAAGCCTGCTCCTGCCAAAATGTCCAAGTTTGGATTTTCCATAGGCAGTCAGACTACAAAGAAGGCATCTGCAATATCCATCAAACTGGGAGCAAATGTAAGTTTACTGAGGGCTTTTAATTTTATGGAAACTGAGGGAAAAGGGAAGTACTTTGTGGAGGCTTCCTTGCAGAAGGAAACCTTGAATTCCCATGAGGGTAACTTGGATAAAGTTTTAACAGGCATTGCAGGGCCAGCTAGTCGTGCATGTGTAAGTACTTCAAGGTGATTAATAACAGCAGGTCAGTAGTCTCAGGAATCATAAGACTTGATTGAAATGAACTGTAGATCTTTGAACATACAGAATAATCTTGTAATGAGATTTTATAAGTCTGCAATAATTTCCTGAGGGAAATGAGCAGACTTGTTAAGCTGTTCAGGCTACTTTGAAATGAGTGCTGGGAGCTTCATTGCATAGATTGCTTAAAGCTGTAAGGAAGCATCTAGGTGGGTTAATAGGTTGTCATCCACTCCAAAGTTCTTATTTTAGCATGGGGAATCGTAGCGTATTTCCATGACTTTGCCTGTTCTTTGCAAGGTCAGTATGATTTATTTGTGTTAAATGCAAGAGATGAGGCTGTGTTACGTAGGTTTTGAAGAATTCTGATCCCCTTGATTGTCCAGCACAAGGTATCCTTGTGCTTGTTCAGATGGGAATCTGATGACTCTCTGTACTTCCAGAGTAGTCCTCCTCTGGCTAGGGCAAGGACAAGCCAGGGGCTTGCCTGTCTGTTTAATACAGTTCATTTACATTTCCCACCTATCACTGTGGTAGATACATTGTGAGTAGTTGTCTGCACCAAATTCAAACTCTAATTGTGAAAGCCTTGCACTCACAGTGCCAGCATTTTACAGACCTGCAAAGGATTGAATGGGTGTGCTCTTATTTTGAGATGGGAAATGTGTGCTGGCAGCATTCTAGGGTATAAATGTAGTCAGGTCAGCTCAGGCTTCGGAAAAATAGGCAAGGCTTCCTTCTCTGAGCTTCTAGCATGCTTCAGTTTCTCATGTCCAAAGTGGAAATAAATTTGGCTCAGGATTTCTGGTTCACTGAATTTAGTGGGTGACTGACAGTGCACCAGATGGAACAGTGCTGAATTTACCCTGTTTCTTTTCAGTCATGTTTACTCCCCTAGTACATTCCCCGTTCCTTGGGCATAGATGCTTTAAAAATGGTGTGGTATTTATATGTTTTGCAGTATCAGTAAAGAACAGCTGTAGGCAGTTGCGTAAGGGTTCTGCTGCAGTACCAACTTCTAGGAGTGTGTATTAAAGAATTGCCAGTAAAGGCAAAATGGAGAAAGCACTGTAGAGGATTGATTTAGTAGTATAGTAGCAATCTGTTACTAGTAACTTGGTTTTTCCTTAGTGGTGTTGAAGTAGCTTTTGGTACCAGTATTGTATTACATGTAACAGTTGTGAGTTTGACAGCTTCCTAAACTTTAAATAGAGGAAAAACAAGTTGTAAATATAATAAATACTCTTTAAAGGAGCTTTATGTTCATTGGACTGTGTGATAGATACTGATAGTCATTTAAAAGCATTGAATTGTTTTAAGCAAGAAAGCTGTCATGTTGTTAAAGTAGAAGAAAATAAACATATTCATTTTTTTTCTGACATTGATGGATAAGAATATCCCAGAAGAATAATGGAAATAGTGACACAGTAAAATTTTGAATAACACAAGTTATTCGGGTTCTGTTTTAATTGTTCATGTAGTTCACCAATGGCTGAGTACCCCTGCAGTGTGCTAGAAAGTTAAGACCTGCATATGGGGAGTTGTAATATGAGAGGGCTCAGCTTGCTTCTCAGAGTGATCACACAAAAATGAGCAGTCATTTTCCTTTATCATTAGAGAATCCTTTATGTGCTTGTTTCAGCCAAGAAATTTTCCCCCAGTTGCCCATTTCAGTGAAGATGTTTAACTTAATTTTACCAAAATACTTTAAAAGTCAAGGGTAGCTTTTTTGAGTTAGTAAGCTTATGTTACTTGTGCATTTTGTCTTTTCCAGAAGCCTAAAGAGCCTGTTCCAACCCTGGCTCCAAAAACCCTTTCTGTAGCCGCAGCTTTCAACGAAGATGAAGATGTGAGTAATAAGCCAGTGATCAACACAAAATACCATTGCTGTGATAGGCAGAGAGAGTGGGTTATTTATGGTTCTTAACGTAAATATCAGGAATTTTCAACACAGAAGCATCTCTTTAGACTCTGATTAAGAGTAAACAATAGCTCTGTATTGGTTCAAGAAGTCATTAAAATGTTGATAACTTCTCCCTGAAATTAAGATGCACAACATCATTTGAATTAATGCTTGCTTTCTCTAGGCTCTATTAGAGGCAAAGGAAAGTTGTGCTTCTGGTTTGCTGAATATTTTGTTGTCATGTGATTGCTCCTTCTTTCATAGATTTGAACAAAGGAATTTGTATTTTGTTCTGTAACCATGTAGGACCTCCACTGTGTCCAAAGTCACTTTGCTGTCCTGTAGGGCTGTAGTCCAGCCTTTGAAGGACTTTGTAGCCCAGCCTTTACCTTGTCAAGCATGTGAAGTGTTCAAAGGCAAGCTCTGACCTCCTTTGTCCCTGCAGAGTGAACCAGAGGAAATGCCCCCTGAAGCCAAGATGCGCATGAAGAACATCGGAAGGTAGGGCAGCTTTGAGCTGTGCTTTGGAGAAGGGTGTGTGTGCCAAATACCTCGCCAGCTCTGGGCACATCTTGAGGATGGTTTGAGGATACAAGGAGGTAGAATAGGTTAAAGAAGCATTTCTCCAGAAACAAGATTTTCAAATGTGTCATCAGGTTAAAAGTAGTACATTTGTATTTGAACTTTGAATCTTATTTACCTTTTTTGATGAAGAAATTGAGCCTTGGTTAAATAGAAGCTCTTTTTTTTTCTTGTAAATGTAATAAGTAAGAATTCCTGCTTGTCTCTACTTTATATTTTTCTGGTTCTCTTTTTTATAACTTGCCTTGAAGTAGGTAGTCTGATCACGTTTTTAAACTCATGTGCAAGAAAAAGATAAGAATCATCTCTCAGAAAGACAAATAATTGCTTGTTTACTTTGCAATAAATCATGTAATTCTTCTGCTTGCTGCAGATTTGAGACGGTAGGGGAGCAGTCCTAAAATAAGTAGGGACCTTTTCAGAGGAGGGATGAATTTTAAAAATCTGTATTTCAGAGGTGGTTACCATGATAGACTGCTTTGAAAGTCAGTCACTCTGGAAGTTCTCTAGTTTGGTGGTTTTTCTTCTTTCTCCAGTAGCAAATTTGGATCCTCAATTTCTTAATCTGCATAGCTGGCAGCAGTTAATTCCACTGCCACCTCCTCTCCTGCCCCATCTCATCACTCTGTTTTGACATACTGTGTACAGACCAGTTCTGTGGCCAACTTACAGTTGCTAATAGTGAGGGCTCCTGATGTAACAGAAGGAAATGTGTGGTAGTTTCTGGGGTGGACAGCTGGCTTGCTCAACTGCTCTTGTTTTACTTTTCACAGGGATACACCAACCTCAGCAGGACCAAATTCGTTCAATAAAGGAAAGCATGGATTTTCTGACAACCAGAAGCTATGGGAACGAAATATAAAATCTCATCTTGGAAATGTCCATGACCAAGAAAATAACTAAATGATGTGGATTACAAGTTGGGTGTTTTGGGGGGAGGGTGTAACATTAAAGGAACAGTTTCCTTTTTTAAGAATGGTATGAGACTATCTTTGGAGCCACTTTTTTAAGACTTTGAGTGGTACACTAATAAATGAGTTTGAAATTAGAGGTAATTTATGTTTTGTATACAGATTTCAAGGTATTTGCTAATTTTGTAGTTCATGTGATTAGTTTCAAAAGGTTACAGATAATAAAGAAATTGGAGTGGTACCTTTTTAAGATAATTTTTTTTTGTCAGTGATTAAATAAGGTGGATGAAAAAGGTTACTGTCTCTTTAATCAGTTTAAAATTGAATGCTCTTGCATTCTCATTTCTGGCTCCCTCTTCATAACAGGAGAAGCAGTTGACTCCTAGGAATTCTGCTAAAGAGAGTGAGCATTGTCTTGTGCTAGAAGTGTTACTGGACTATTAATTTGAATATAATCTTACACAGGAAATAATAAGAACCTGGATTTCTTTTTCTCCCTGCAGTCGCCTTCTGTTAAGTCTCTGCAAACTAGGAATTACGTTGCTCTGAGTGGCTCTGGTAACTTAGCTGATTTTGTTTAAAACTTCATGTAGGATGTGTAACCTTCAGTGGCCTGTTCTGTCCTAAGGAAATGGGCCTTGTCTGTATATTAGACACAGTCTGTAAAGAATATTCACTACAAAGGTAAATCAGTATTTTCAGTGTGCTCCTTTTAAATCATTAGCCTTAAGTAGTGCTTGTTAGCATTTCCTAGTGGTACACAAAAGCCACCACCAAAAATACAAGCTAATGTACTTTAAGCTTCACCTTTGGTTGAAATATTTTTTCTTTACTATGCCTAGAAGGAATAAAAGCCACACCAAAAATCGGTAACTCACTGCTTAAGTATGAAAAATCTAAGATGCACTTTCCCTGTCTTGCCATTTAAGACAAAATGCCTTGATGCCTATGACCTCAGTGGACAGTATCAGGTCAAAAGATGCTATATCTGCAGTCCTAATGTTTCTAACAAGTGTTGACTTCAGAAATAAAACTTGACCTTTTTCTGCCTGTCTTCCTTTTGCAGTGATTTTCAGCAGTGACATGAATCTGGTCAGTTTATTTCTTAGCTTCCATAATGCCGGAGAGTGCTGAAGGATTTCAGTACTAGTAATAACTGTCTAAATTTAAGTCTAATTTAGATTGTGTATTTGTAAATCATTTCACTTACAGAAATGGTTACACAGAACATTATCAACAGCAACACCACCACCTCCCCTACCCTAAACAAACAAGATTCTTTTTAAACTCAAATACCTGGTAGTGTCAGCCACTAAATTAATTTCAGCTGGAAAATGGTTTTAGCATTCATAACATTAATTGCTTTCATCCTGCCTCTCAAACTGTCTTCTTGCTAAAGTTGAACTTGCAAGTGCAGAAAGGAAAGTGCATCTTGAAATGTATTTTTTTATTATTATTTTAGGAAAGCTCTGACCACTTAGACTTTTGAGTTTGTAAGTTCTAAAAATATTTTTTTGTATTTTTGTATTGTATGTGTAATCTTTTTTCTTTTGAAGTCTGATGCAGTTGAATACCTGTAACTGTTTTCTTTTAAAAGCCTTGTTATAAACTTAACATAAAAATGTATACATTATTTTTCTTCCATAGCGGAAATATTTGGTTTATTTAAGAAAAAACACACTTTCAAAACTGAATTTCAGGACCTCAAAACCAATTTGGGCATTACTTGAACTAGGCAAGACAAACTTCTCACTTATTTTCATCACATGTAGTTATGTTTGTCTAAATAAATCCTTTTAAGATAGTGGTAATCCATAGTGACGAGCTGTTTTCTCATGCTCCTCAGTAGCTGGTTCATACTATATCAATCACTTGTATAGGAACAAAGCAAAACAGAACTTGAAATAAGAGAATGACTTGGAGATCTATTCCTTGATTTAGTTAACCTACCTCCACTTTCTTCCACATCTTTGTCTCAAGTAGATGTTCATACCCAGAATTGCCTTGTACTTCAAAGTCATTTGGGAAATTGCTATGCACGCTATGAAATACCTTCCGTGCAACTGCGAGAGAAAAGTTGTATTTATCTTCTTACTTCCATGGTCAATAAATAATCCTAGACCTTGTGAGAGACTGCAGGAACTTGTAAATCTCAGCTGAAGGTGAGCAGTGATCCTGCCTCACCCAATGCAAGCGTTCCTTCTCTGTGCATCATGGGAGGAAATCCATCAGGATGGCATCAGTCTCCTCAGGACTGGGTGCCAAACAGGCTGGATTTTGTCACTCCCAGATGTCTACTGGTGTTTAACGTCTGACACTTGCGAGAACAAACTGACTGATATGAACAATATCATCAAGGCAAACGTCAGCTGGGATTAACTTGAAGCTGTAGGCTCTTGTTAGAGTAGTCATGCTTTTTTACATGCAGAGAGCCTTATTTTTTTTTTTTTTTTTGTTCTTGGTATAATTTATTTTTGGTTAGTTGGTTTCACTTTTTTTTCTAAGGATGTTCAAGAATCCTGAAACTCATGATAAACGATGTGATTTAGCTATGTTGAAGTGCTTCCAGGAGATGTGCTGAGACCTTGAACTGCTTAGTACAGCACACAGTGTGCGCCTGTCAGCGGTTGAAATGCCAGCTTGTGTGGTTTTATCCCATGGGGCTCATGCTTGCTTAGCAGGAATTGACACCTGAGCAGCCTGCAGAACATTGATGACATAAGGTGAAGATGTGAGTAGTTACCCAATAACCTTCTCTGTGCTACCCTGCAGCTCGTCTGTTCTGAGCCTGCTGACCTGTAAATGGTCCAAACTCATCTAACTATATTAAAATAATAAAAAGGCCCAACAGCCCCCCCGAAAAAAATTAAAACAAAAAAACCTAAAACCAAACAAAGAACAAAGGGCAAGAAGAGTCCCTGCCCAAAAATCCAAAACAAAACAGCCCCACCAAACAGTGTGGTGAACTGCTGCTGGCTGTGTTTCAGGCAGTACTGGGTGTAACCCCCTTACCAATTTTATTCCTTTAAAGAGTGGGAGGTGCATTGTCCAGGTTCTCAGAATAAATATTTTATCAGCAGGAAGATGTGCCAGTTCACAGCTTGTGCCATATCGGAGATGACCCAGTTCCCAGTATTCTTTGAACTGTGGCAAAACCAACTATAGTCCTCTTGGGAGCACCATGGCAGCAGCCACAGCTGCCATCAGGCCTGGTGAGCTTCATCTCCATGGCTACCAGGTTTATAGAGCACCCCTTTGTCAGAACTCACAGGACTCCACTGAGTTCCCTGTGTTGGCAGTGGCTTTACTAAAGTTGGCTTTCCTAAGAGACTTGGGAGGAAAAGTCAGCTTTCGAGAAAATGGCAACTTCTGTTTCTGAAAAGGCAAATGGGTTTTAAACTATTGGAATTCACTGGTGTCACTAGAACTCTTTATAGGCTGCTGTAAGATAAGATGAATCAGTTTGGAGAAGCCACAGGGTTTCAAGAAGGCTTTTGTCTGTGTATTTGGTAGCCCTAAAGGGTGTTCTGCAAAGAAGTTTGCTTTTTAAAAATTCCTTATATAACTACAAGTTGAGGAATGCTGAGTAGTTCTGCCTTTAAGCTACAAAAGGAAAGGTTATGTTCTAAACTGACCAGAATTTGTTGTCCAGTGTTTCTGGCATGACTCACTAGAACACCATGAATATTGGATAATTAACAGCCTGCTTTTTTACTTTATCCTATTAACACATCCCTTATTTCTTCTGGTTTCATTAACAAAAAGATCTACTGTTGTCTGTTGGCATCTTATATAGTGCTTATTTAGGAAAGCTGCTCATGTCTAATAATGTGGAGCCATTGCCTGGGGGTAGCTCTGTAGTTATCCATGGAATTAAAAGCACAGAACATCCACTGTTACACTTTAACTCTGGACATAGCATGCCTAGTTTGTATTTGCAAACTTGCATTTAGCAGTCTGCAGTGGTGGGAGCCCAAGATTTATTGCCCAAACCTCTGCAGCTTTTTGAGGTCTGGACACTCCAATGCCAGCTGCCCCTCAGGCTGGGTAAGGAGGATGCAGGAGTGGCTAGTAATCGGAACATGGACTTCCTGATGCAGTAGCATGGAATGAACTCTGGAAACCTCTGCTCGGCCTGTGGCTCAATTCCTGAATTTGTTTCTTGGGATTGGATTTACTGTTGAGATGGATACATAGAAAGTGTCTGTAGTTCTGTACCAAGAGCTCCACTGAAACTTGAAGTCATGAGCCCGTATTGATATTTTCCTGGCAGTACAAGTTATTAATCTAAAGTTGATGCAAGTTTTAATAAAAATGTATTCTCTCTCCTTTTCTCTCTCCCCAGCCTTCCCCTAATTTGTAAACATGGTAGTTGCATGTAAGGTGTTGGCTGATGCTCAGTAGCTCATTACAGAATCACAGCAGTGCCTTGGGTGACAGAAGTGTGGCTGTGGGAGCCTTCCCCACTCACAGCAGTGCCATCTCTGCAGCTGCAGGCACTCAAAAGGTAACTAAAGCAAGGGCCTAAAGGGGTTCTGTTACTCAGGTGCTCATATGACAATCCTGTTCACAGATAAAATTTAAAGCCGCGACAAGAAGAGCTTGCACTACTCCACATCTGAAAGCACCACTTAACTCAGCGGGAAGGCAGGGCACTTGACTCCTGAGAGACAAAGCCTGCAGCACAAAACTTTTCCTAGGGAAACAAGAAAAACTTCCTTTTTGCTAAGTCCTTTAAAGTCACAGGAGACTTTTAAGGATGCTTCCCAACAGCCCTGCATGTGAGGGTGACAAAAGAGTGACAAGGGCCTCTTGCCTGCAGCAGCTGTGGGAGAACAGGCCTTGGTTAAGAGCTGCTCCAGAAATGCTGGGAGGTTCCATCACGTTGTTGGCCATAGCTGCACGACTGGCTCCTGAATGCTATCATTATACACTGTGCTGTAGAAATTCATGGTGCTTCTTTTAAAAGCGAGGAATGATGTGGTTGTAACTCCAGTAGAAACAAAGTGGGGCAAAAACTATTCACACATCACTTGCCTGTTGTGCATTTGTAGTTGCATCCCTGTGGAGCAGTAGTTGTTCAACAGAAGCCTACCTTACTCCTTCAGCAATCAGCCTTTTGAAAACACCACTTTATTTTCTTTAATTACAGACTTAGCTTGTTGCTTGTTTACTTACAGGGGCTCATAGAGGAGTTAAAAAGCTTCTAGCATTCCCTTAGGATGAACCACAGAAGAAAATCAGGCTTTCTGCAACATCGGGGCTGCCTTGAAGTTCCTGTAACAGCAAAGGGAAAGGCATGGGACACTGTTCCCAGACCTGGAGGCAGCTGTACAGCTCATCCTTCAACCAGGAGACTGACACTGGAGGACAACTTCCACACCACAACCCCTGCTCAAATACCCATCCCAGGGCAGAGACCAAGATGGAAGTGCTGGTTGCTGCTGCTTTAGGCTACAGTGTTGTGGACACCCAAGTCAAGAGAAATAAGATCAGAAACAAACCCAAATGATTACAGCTGGGTACTAGGCAGCCGAGCAGATGCCTCACCTGTCCTGAGCATTTGCAGCCCAAGCAATTTCTGTATCAATATACACACTGTTTCATTAGCACTGTGTTCTTGTAGAGCCATGTTCTGACACAATTCAGGAGGACAGTGTGTTTCTTTTCCTCACACAACATAATTCTTTGAGCCTTAAGCAAAAATTAAAAAACTAGGTGATACTAGATTCTAGTAACTAGGTGTTACTAGAACTATCCAGGCCAGAATCTGTCTGTATATGGAAAGCGAAATACTGAAGAGGAATCTGCAACACCTTCTTTCCCTGGAGAAAAAGAAAGTTTCTTTAAAGAGCAGTTGATGGCAGAGCTCAGTTTATTTGATGACAGAAATAACCAGAACTTTATACATCTAACACTAAATAAAAACAGCAGAATGTACAAATCTGATTCATTATGTACAGGAAATCACTAGGAATACTTAATGAATGGACACTTCTCATTAACTTTATTTTTTAAAAAACCCAGTATCAACTGCATATTTGCAGTCTGACTTTTGCAGAAGAGTAGTGAATGTCTTAAGTGCTGAAGTCCACAGGAAAACATAAGGCAACTCCACACAGATGGGAATAGCAAAGCCAAGAGTGACACTCCCTACTTACTTCAGGCCGTTCTGAAAAGGTAAGGCACAGCATGTTAGGAAAGGGGTACCACAACATTCAGCTTTGACATTCCTGGCTGAATCTTGTTTAGAAAACAACCTTTTGTGATTAGTTTGGTTGGTGGTTGTTTTTAAACAGCAGATCATTGAGTCAGTAAAAGCATTTTGACAGTGGATAAGACGGCTCTGAAATTCAGATTCACTTTTGCTTCTTCTATAGGTTGGGCAAATAAATGCACCAAAGATTAAACTAAGGTGCTGGTAATACTCTTTTTTTTAAGGTAACACACTAAATATACAAATGTTCTAGCACTATTTACAGCTATTTTTCCTTGAACACTTCTTCACTTTAGTAATACATAATTATTTTTAGGATAAAAACATTGAAGTAAGTTTTCAAGTTTACCTAGTGCTCTTTTTAATCTTTTTCCATCATAATGCCAGTATTTTAATTTTAAGCAGGATGGCTATCTCCAGATTCTTTTTCTTTACCATACAAAAACTCAATTTACAGCTAGTAGTATTTTTTTTTAATATTCATTTTAGTTTTACTCCATTTGGTAATTAGAATACAATTGTAAAGGGGTACAGGATATATAAATAACTACATTATTTCTCTGAAATAAGACCCTGACTTTTGAAATAGG